ATCTAAGTTTACAAGTACTTCAGCTTTTACAATCTGTACTTCTTAAACTGTTACCAGGAATCATGGTCTAACTCAATAGAGACACACGCTAAAGATGCTGGAGGGGGAAAACCCTTTTTTTAAAAAAAGGCACTGGCATGTTTCACAGGTCCAGGCCGTGTTTCAGTGATTTGCTTCAGCAGGTCCCTGTTGGGGCTGGGACCCCAGGCAGCCTGAGGGTGCAGCACCTGCCGATCATGCCATGTTTCGGAGTGGGGCAGGTGTGCCTGGATGTGGGGGTTCGGGATCCCCAGCTGTCTCCACGCCTGGAGCAGGGGAGCTGCCGGAGGTGCACACAAGCAGTGGGTGGGCCGGTGGCTGGAGATACCCCCCTGGCACCATGGCCACACGCAGAGAAGCTGGTGCTGGGCCTGAGCCGGGGAGTTGAAACTGTTCTCCGAAACCACACCACACAGCGCTCTCGAGGCGGGCGCCCGCAGCATGGCCTCCCTCGCCGGCCCCCGGGCTTCCTCTCTTTCGGCTACCAGGGCTGCTCTGGGTCTGCTGCTGGAGGGGTGTTTTTTTTCTCACTCGCTTGTCACCAGCAGTTTGGGGTTTTTGCTCCCCTCTCTTCCCCATACTTTAAAAAGTAAAAGGTGGCAGGGGGTTATTGCAGAAGCAGTGACAGTGCAGCTCTGGGGGTGCGAGTGTGGGGCAGGATGATGGAGGTGTGTGAGCCTGGGGTCTGGGTGTGTGTCCACAGCCCTGCAGCCGCGTGAGAGCGTGCCCAGGCATAGAGGAGGGCAGGGCTGCATTGCTGGTGGGAGGAGAGAAGAGGGGAACAGAAATCCAGGGTTTGGAAGGAGAAGGTGCTGGGAAGAAACTTCTCAGCAGTAGAAGCGCAGCTTGGGAAAGAGTCCCGAACATGGTGGCAGGCACCTGGGGTTTGGGATTGAGAAGGGCTGGTAATCTTGCCATGAAATGTAGCAGTGCCCCACTTACTGAGCTTGTCTCTTCACCTGCTGCCTCATCTGCCATGGCTCTGCCAGTCCTCTTGTCGGCTTTCCATAGCTTCTCCTGTACAAACTCCTAAAAGAAAAATAATTACCTAGTGCTATAAGTTGCATAGTTTTTTTCTGGTTTTCCTTAACATCCCAGTGGTTTGTGAGTAATTGTCATTCCCAGTGTGCAATGGGAGATCTAACTGTGCAGCTTCATTGCATAGGAGCACGTGGTTAGCGCAAACTTTCTAATCGCTATTCCTTCAGAGCTTGCTTCCCTCCCGAGAAAGAGCAACACTTTGGCCTCATCCTTAGGACCTTGTATATTTGTGTATCTAGATGTCGGCTCGTGACTCAATTCTTTTTGGATGACTGGAGAGAGAGAGATGCTGTTTCTTTGAGCCATGTTTAAGCAGTCAGCTTGGCATCGCTTACAATGCAACGTAACTGTATTCCTAGCAGGGCTGTGACTTGTCATGTCCTGTGCCGCCTGCCTGTTCTTAGACATCTTGCTTTAAAATCCCGCTGTATTTTACTGGACTGCTGAAATTGTACTGGTGAAACACTGGTGGAAAATGCTTATTGAAAAGATGCTGTGCTGCTCACCGCACCGGGTGATCTGTAAGTTTAACAAAGTGGGAATTATCAGTGAAATGTTTATTATTGGTGCTTTGTTCTGCGTGAGGCAGCTGAATGTGACTGGTCCCTCAAGCCTGGCAGGTTTGGCTCTGCTCACCTCACCATCAGCCCATCCACTGCAGCGCTGCCACCCTGGCCTCAGCCCCCCAAACCATGTCTCAGGGCTGATGAGGGGCAGAGAGTACATTTTTGGTAGGGCCTAAGGGACTGTTTGTGCATGTGGTGCAACTTTTGAAGAGGCAGTAACCTCCTCTCTAACAATTTAAAAACCTTAACTGATCCTGTTCAATGAATGGATGCTGTTTTAACTGCTACTTCGTATCTCTTTGACCTTTATTTCAATAGGCTTTGTATCTTTCGTCTTTGTCTTGCTTGCTAATCCAGAAAGCTGTTGCAAAGGTTATTATTTAGAAAGTGCTTTGTACCTTTTTTTTTTTAAATACAGAAATCAAACATATTAAGGAAGGCAAAGACATGAAGTAATTCATTTTCTTGGTTTGTTTCTAAATGTTAGACTTTATCATTGTCTCAATACATATTTTTTCCGGGAACCATCACAGCCAGGCTGTGTCTAGCAGGATTTCCCTCACTGAACAACTTTAATGCATTGCCTGGGGTGCCGGGGGCCAGACTGTCCCAGATAAGCAACACATAGGCACTTGGGGCTGCTCTGCAGAGTCAGAAAAGGTTGACCATGGCTGACACAGAGCTACAGCTACATTCCTTGCACTCTTGACTTCTCCTCCTTAGTCCTCTACATCTCCTGCTCAAGCTCCTCCTGGTCTGAGGGGGTTTATTAATGCTGGAGAAATACCAGACTTGAGATGACAGTGTGAACGTGCCCTGTTTGGTACAGGGAGAGGGGAGTCAGGACTAGGAGCCCCAAAACCTTTTTCAGTGGCATCTCAGTTACCCCCAGGCTCCCTGGCTGTGCCTGGCTCTGTGCTGGGCTGCTCACGTTCCTTACATTGTATTTCTGATCTGGGTGCACCACTGGAAATCCTTGAGCTGCTTCTGAACACATCCAGCTGGCGGCCAGGGTACACCGGGGCAGGCTGCTGCACTCTGCAAAAGCAGCTGAATTACTGCTAGGAACAAATTGCCTCCGGATGCTGTACAGCTGTATTCCCCAACGCTGCATTTTAGCTACCGAGTCTAATGGAATTCAAGCTGGTTTTGTGTTAAATCAACTCTGCCCTAAAATATTGTCCTGTGAATATTTAGAAGAAAAACTCTAGGAAGCTAATCTCAACTTGTTTGCTGGTTTAAGATACAATGTCAGGCAAATAACTTCATCTCTATTTACCTCATGTATATGAGGGTTTATAATCCTGAAAAAAATGCGGCAAAGGTTATTGTTTATAAAGTACTTTGAACCTTATTTTTAAAGTAATAGAAATAGAAAGGGAAGAAGGAAAACCATCTAGGGTCTTAATTTATTTCCGTGGATTTGTTTCTAAAAACATGATTTAAAAAAAATGAATGTGAACTCCTAGTTCAGACAAGCGAACAAATCTACTGTTTGGAAATATGGGGTTTTTTTCTGACCGTGTTAGACTTTCAGTGGGAACAGTGATTGTACCATCACCTGCTTGAGAGTTTACAATTACATTACCAAGTATCCAGGCACGGCTTTTCAGCCATGCTTTATACAAATTGCACACTTGAGCAGTGTGACAGGCTATCATCATTAACTTTATTTCTGCAAAGGAGACTTCCTCACGGTGGTGAGTGTGTAGTGCCTGAGTGTCATCTGCAAGTTTCTTCTAATGAACTCATCAGTGTGGACCAGTGGGGCCAGGAAGAAACCCCAGCGCACAGAATGGCCCTGCTCTCAGCACTGGAGTAACTCCAGCACCGTGAAGCACTGCACTGAGTGGTTCAACTACCCTCCATCACATCTGGTTAATAAGAATTGCCCTACTTTGTTCACCTTAGGAAGGAGATGAAACGTATAAATTCTTTTCAATTTATCTTCATTGAAAGGCTTCACAGGCTCTTGATCATTCTTGTCTTTCTCTCTTGAACTCCCTCCAATTCTTTGTACAAAGCACATCTCAGATTCGTTTTTAAATGACTTTTTTTTTTTTTTAAATAATTGTGCAATACAGCTTTTACTTTGGGGATGGCATATTGGATCTATAGTTACTTAGGATTCTTGACCTGAATTGCTTTGATTTTTTTAGCTGCATTTGTTAACTTACTGCACGTTTATGAACTGATACAGGGGCAGTTTCATCAGTATTAGCTGCTGAAAACCATGCTTGATGCCACCAGGGTATAAACATATGCAATGTTGATAAAGAAATGAACATCAACATCTTCTAACAATTTTATTGAGTTGTCTATTAGGGTAGTAATAGATATTTTTTTTTTCCTCAGAAAAGTTTTAACATTTCTTTTAAAAATAAATTAAAAAATTAAAAATCTTCTGGGGCTGATCCAGCCAACAAGAGCCAGCCAGTTGAGGTTCACGTGCAGGGAATTCAGGTTTAAACCTTCTCTCAAAGCAGAAGCACATCAGGGAGTCTTATGTGGTAGCTCATGGATCTCCTGCCCGTAGTGCCCTTCTCATGATTAATTGTCTCCAACATCCCCAAACTGGAAGCCCAAGAGAACCCTCATAGAGAAGACACTGCAGCTTTATGGTTATGATATATAATCTGGGATACAGGAGCTGCATCTTCAAATTCCTCTTCTGAATAAAGTAGAGTAACAATTTCAGCCTGGACCTTCAGTCGACTATGATGGTGTCAGTCTTTCTTTACATTTAACATAAAATTTTGTCCTGAGAAACCCTTCCATAAAATTTTGTTCAAATAGACCTAGTTTCTTTCACACACACACGTTTTAGCTGATGAAGGAATCTGTAACGAGGTCCTGTACTGAATCTCTATAGGAGATGTTGCTGGGCTTTCCCAGAAAACAAATGCTCTGTGTGAGCCTTTCTTGCAGTAACTGCAGCGTTAGTGATCCATGCTTATCTCCATGCAGCTCCTGCGCTCGCCCCCTGACCCGTGCCTGCGAGCTGCAGGGAGCTGAGCATGGACTCCATGGGGTGGGAAACTCTGTGTGAAATGTCCTGTATTGGTTGAGGGAGGTTGCAAATGTTTCCATCCTTGGGGACACTCTAACTCAGACAGTCTGGTCTAACTGACCCTGTTTAGACAGAGCATTGAACCTGCTGTGGTCCCTCCTGACCAAATTAATCCAATGGTTCTTACTCAGATTTCCATCTCCTTTGCAAAGGGACAGACTGCCCTCATAATGGCTATTTTTTTCATGAAGGACCACGCAGCACTGCCACACTTATGCTATCACCAAGCACTCAGGGATACAAAAATGGCCTTGGTTGTTGATGTATCTGCTGTTTCCATACAGATGCTACATCAGTTCTTGGACTGACAGACCCAAGACTCTGCTACATACTGGATGGATTCCTCTTCATTTACGCAGTCATCATCACAGCCCTTTTTGTGAAAGCAAAGGTCAGTCTATCCGAACACTGGTGCATTGGGCTTGGGTGCTGTAAACAAGTTTGGCTTAGCTGGAACGTGGGGGTGGAGAGGAAACATGTCTCTTAGAATAAAACATTTTAATTCTTTTACCTTTCTTTTTTTTTTTTTTTTTTTTTTTCCCCCGCTTTCCTTCTTTTCCGGTGCCAACCTGAGCAATCTGGGGGAGTTCTTTCTGAGGGCTCATGAATGGAGGAGAAAAGAGTATATGAGAGGATTTTGATGCTACAGTTGTGGATGTTGTCAGAGATTCTGGATATTGTAGCTGGGAAATGCCTGATCAACAGTGATGTGGTTTCTTCTGCTGCTTTGTTGTTGGAGAGGAGGGGATATACAGAAAATCCAGGATAAATGCCAAGCTTGTGAAGGATGTATTAAAATGGCTCAAGAAGTCAGACATCCTTGATAGTATGAGTGTGATGATGCAAATGACATAACCCCCAACAACCACAGGAGAGGAGTTGGAGGGATGGGCTGTTGTTACCATCCAGCAGCTGTTCAGAATTCAGGGAGATGCTTAATGGCCTTAGTGCGCTTCCACGGAAGAAAATGTGATGGGGTGATGTACGTTTCAAGGCACGTACAGGCTCTGAGAACTCTGCTAATTGTAGGCGAGGTGCTGTCTGCCTCCCTGGAGCACAGGGCACTCCAGTGCAATGGTGCTTCCAGCCAAGCCTAAGCAGGCCAGGAGGTGTCGTGGCTGCTGTCTGTACATCTGGCTCAGCCTCCCCCCTAGATGCAAAGGCTTGCTGTGCTTGGGATCTCAGCTTGCTTCTCGCCAGCTTGTGGCTGAGATCACCAGCAGGAGCCCAGACAGGGTGATGTTGTGCTGCTGCTGGTGCTGGTGGGATCATTTCTCAGGACCACAGAGCCAGTGCTGAACCCAGAGGGAGGGAGGGAGGGATGTTTGGAAGAAATGAGCAGAATTTGGTAACGGCAAAGGAGAAACCACTTTTGCTGCCAGTGTAAATCCCGACTGCAGATGGAAGTGCTGCTGTGGGACTGGAAGTCTTTTTGAGACTGTTAGATGGCCGAGCTGGTGGGGCACACCGAGGGTGCACGGTGCTCACCGGCAGGAGCTGGGCACCTCGCCTGGTGTGGGGCGACAGCGCCATAGCTGAAGAGAGCTCGGCAAAGCATCCAAGGAGGAGCATGAACCTGCCACAGCCACCCTTCCTCCCCCACCCAGAGCGGGTCTCAAGCCTGCTGCTGCCAGGGCAGAAACTCCCGTGGCTTCACCCGCCAGGGCTCCTGCAGGGACAGAGCTGGAGCTGGAAACGGCCTCCTGCTCAGAGGCTGCAGCCCTCACACTTAGGTCCGGGAGAGCCCGCTGTCCTCCCGGAGAGCCCGGCTGCAGTAGCGTTCAGCTGCAGCAGGGAGGCTGCTGCATGGGGGAAGGCAGCAGAAGGAAGGGGAAAGCCTTGCCTGTGGTTACACTGGGACCTCGCAGACGGAAGCAGCAGAGGCCCTGCAGCTGAAACGCCACCACAAAGCACCAAGAAGCTGGTGGGGCATTTTCCAAGGGGTGTCTGTCTTGTCCCAAACATAAGACTTTTTTTCCAAATCCTCCAAGCTGTGTCATATCTCTGACCTCACCTCCAGGCCAAAGGAATTGTTTGTGGAGGCTTTTGCCAAGGGCACAGACTTATCTCTGCTCTGAGTTTTTTATTTATGGATCACACGGATGATGCACGTAAATATTCAGGCTCCATTGCAAGAAACATGGGTTAGATGCTTGGTAAGTTACTGCCCCCCCCAAAGGTTCAGTGGCAAAAATTGCACTTCCACAGGGAAAGCAGTAGGGTACCTAACCTGCAATTACTACAAATACAACTTTAAAAAGCAAAGTCAATTTTATCCTATGTCTAAAAACAATCCCATCTTGAGATTTGCTTTTAATAAAGATTTTAACATATGGTAATAACTCAAGAAGGCTAAGCAACACAGAATGTAGTCTGACACTGTTTTTTGAACAGACTGGAATACAAAACAGAAGCTCTTACTGCCCCAGCAAGCCAGGTGCTGCTCCCAAGGGGTGTGAGGATCCCTTGTGCCTGCTGGAACTGAGGTCACCCAGGAACTTTGCAGGAGGACTGGGGTCTTGCAGGATGGAGGATGTGTGTGGGGGTGTGCTTTTGGTTGTTAACAACCCCAGATAGCCAGTTTTTCTTAACACGGGTTACAATTATGATTTTATAGCCTGATGGAACTACTTCCAATTGCACAGGATTATGATATGCACAGAATAGGAAAGCAAAGGCAGTCGGGGGAGGGAGGGGGGAATCACCCACAGGTACTTTGAGCAGCAGGGAGCTGGTGGTACGTGCAGGTGAAATGGCCTGGCTGCTGAGAGCAACCTGGCACGTGGATGTAAGTACCAGCGCAGCAGGGGCTTGCATTGCCTGTAGCCCCATCGGTGCCACGGGTGGCTGCGTTTGCATTGCCCTGTTTCTGATGGCAGTAACTTACAGGAGAGAGGGAATGAAAGGCCTGGAAGGAGCCACTGGCTCTCTGCTCATGGTATGGTTTCTCTTCCAGCTTACCCAGGCTTCTGAAGTGCAGCTGCAGCCAGGCCAGGATGATGTGTATAATGTAAGTAACTACTATTTTTATTTTGTTTGTTTGTTTTCAAACCTGCTACCCAGAAAGGCCTTTTGGGGCACTTATGGATAGTGAACTGCCTGTGGATCAGAGAAACTTGATGACCCAGCTAATGAAAGCGATAGAACCAAATGTGCAGCACAGCAGCTGTAAGGAGGAAAAGTAAAATCTGACAAGGGCAGCTTCTGTTGTCACTTGTCTGGCTGGATGCTAGATGATAGTCATATGGGCTGTAGGGTCCTGATCTAAGCCGCTGAGCTGAAGGTGTACCAGGACCCCAGGCAGCGTTTGACACACTGCGAAATGTTAATGGGCCTGGGAGAGCACTGTGTGTGTGTGTGTGTGCCCAGCCCTCTGCAGCTGGCTTGTAGCTCTTGTGGATCGGTGTTCCTCAGGGAATCAGAAGCACACCATCACCCCTGTTGCTGGTGCTATTTGATGTGCACTGGAGAAAGGGTAAATGCCCAGGAATGCTGCCTTGCTGACTTTGGGAGACTGTAGCTCTTGCAACATTGAGTGTGTGGAACCTGAGTCATTGCAGTCCAGCTGTCTCCGTCCAGGAGCTTTCCTGTTTCCCTGCAGCATGAGACCTGTTGTACGAGATCGTACTGGAGGTGTACCTCGGCCACTGTGCCCTGACTGTAGCCAGCATCAGATGGGGCTTCAGGCAGTGAGAAAGGGCAGAGCCAAGATCCTGTCTGTCCTTCCTAGCTAAATTGCTCACTCATGGCAGCATTAAACTCCAGCTATTTTTGCTATGTCTGGTTGTCTTTTGATTTTAATTTTTTTTTCTCTCACGCTTTTGACCATAGCCACATCCTGTGATGAGTTCTACTGTTTAACTGTGTAATGTATGAACACCAATGCATTTTTTTTCAATTTAAGAAATGTTGCCTGTCACCTTTTCAGTACCACGCTGTCAGCTGTGTTATTCTGACCTGAAATTTCTCCTTTGCCCTTTTCCAAGGTAACCTTTCCCAGATCAGAAATGCATTGCACATAAAATTTCTACAGCCACTTGATGCAAATTTAGATGAGCTCTTCTGTGAGAAAAAAAAAATATCAAGCTCGTGCATCTTCACCCACCAGTGGGTGAGAAAGCATGAAAGTCAGAGTCCCTCGCCCTCGTGTGCTCTTATTTTCAGCTCATTTCTACTTAAGAAAGGTTCTTGATGCAATGGCTTGCAGTTTTGTGCTGCACAAACCACTCGTTGTTGCTTCCATGACTTAATCATAGAAATTTTAGTTGACAATTGCATTCACAGGTAAAATACTGTCTAGCTCTGTTAAAACACCCATGAAGTTGGACAGCAAACTGGCTTCCTTTTCTTCTCCTGCATTAAGTCAAGATCTATTTTCTCATGATCATAATGTCCGTCACTGCTTCTTGCTTTTTCCTTTCAGAAACTGTCTCGTGGACACCGCGATGAATACGATGTTCTGGGGGCAAAGCGAGGTGCAGACCCTGAGTTGGGCGGGAGACACCAGGTAACTTCCTCCCACACATCCACCTTTTTTTTTTTTTCTTTTAATCTGGTTCCTTCCTTGTCAGGTCTAACCGCTGTTCAGACACGCAGGCATTCATCACGCCTTGCTAAGCACTACTGCCTTCCTGGAGAGGGACTGGCAAAAACCTGTGTAGTAACTCGGGTGGCTGCAGCGTGCCGGGACAAAAGTAAACTGCCCTCCTCCCCCTTTGATCTTTGCCCCTCGCACCCCACGTTCACTTTGCTGAGAGCTCGCAGCCACCCAGAATAGGAAGTGACACCCAGCCGTGGGGCGGATGTGGAACAGGCAAGGCAGGAGTGGGTGTTTCAGGAGAGCTCGCCGCACGTGGTGCTGCCACACAAGTGCCAACAAAGTAAAGTGGCAGCCAAAACAACTGTTTCTGCTGCAGAGCTCAACGGTTTCAAAGGAAAAAGGGAGGGGAAACCTTCTGCATCAGCGCGTAGGGCTTGCCTGCAGGTGACAGCTGTAGGGATTGAGCAGAGAAGAGCTAAGTTTTACCAATTATTAAAATTAAATTAATTTTCCAGACATCAAGTTGTCTTAACAGAGCCTTATGGGTGGAGGCAAGCTGGGCTGTAAGGGGTACAGCATGCCCACAGAGCTGTAACCATGCCTTAGAACAAATGCAGAGGCACATATAAGGTGGTGGGGGATGCTGGTAGTGCAACACGTGGGCAACTTTCATCTTTTGTTTTACAGCAGAGAAGAAAGAACCCTCAGGACACCGTCTACACTGTGAGTACAGAGGGCTGGAAGGAGAGGAGAGGGAGGGATGGCTGGAAATCAGAGTTTCTATGTCACAGGAGACTTTTTCCCCCCCTACCTAATTTCAGCTTTGGTTCAAGCTTAACAGCTGCTTTCAAATACTTCTCTTCCCTTCAACCCTTCAACCTTTTTTTGCTAGAAAATTTCTGCTCCTTTCTCCGTGATAGGAGAAAAACATTGGCAGATGGGGAAAAGAATTTGGATCAAGACCCCTGCTGATCCCTTTTTGTTAGCCATTAGTGAGTAACCAGCCTTCTTCCCATGTGGCTGATGCTGCAGTATTTTATGTACTTGTTCTCCAGGCTCTCTGACAAAGACCAAATGCCAGTGCATCTAAGAGTGGTTGCTTAGGAGCCTTTTGAGTTAATTGATTTAACTCTGGCTAAATGTGGTGGTTTGTGCTCCAAAGGATGGCTACACGAATGCTAAAGCTCATGTCTTGGGTCTTTCTGGGTGTTCAGTGCTTGCTCATTTCCAAGACCGGTCTTCATTGCTATCAAAGCAGACACTGATGGTCACAGCTGGTCATAAGCATGTGGGACCTGCTTCCCCGGATGGAGGAAGGAAGAGCTCCACTTTCCTAACCTTCACCCTGCAGTGTTAGACTTCTCTTTGCTCTGGGCCTGAGCTGCTCCTGAACAAATGCTGCTTACAGCTTTTCTGTGACCTGGCTTTGATTGTAGTGTCTGGTGCCAGTCTAGATAAATTACTCGGTTGAAGGTAGACTTCTGTTCGTTAAGTGTTTGGAGATGAGGTGGTATTGATATGCTAAGCAGATTTGATCATGTATAGCATCTATTTAAATGCACATTGGTGAAGTGCCACCGCGTCCCACCGCTGTCCCTTCTTCTCTGGAATGTATCGGAGCTTTGAAGGCAAGGCAGCCCCAGAGGCACGGGGTTGGTGTGTGGTCACCCAGGGGCTGGCTTGGCTTTTCTAGTAACACGCTGACTCTTTCCCCCTCTCCGCTTGCAGTCACTGCAGAAGGACAAGATGGGCGAGGCATACAGTGAAATCGGAATGAAGGGAGAGGTGAGTCCTTCTTTCCTGCCTGGGGAAAGCCCGGGATGAAAAAGTCTTCATCGCTGCTCCCTTACGGAGCAGTAGCCCCGGCTGCACATCGCTGCCTTGCACAGGGAAGTCCCCGTGTTGCACAGCTGAGAGCAGTTACCTTTTCCCTGTAGTAACCAGTGTGTCTGGTGCAGCAGTAAGAAAGCTAGGTAGCTATGGCATTACAGTAGCCATAGAACAAGGTGATCAGACAGTAAACTTTGTCCCACGGGCTGCGTACCAGCAGCATCCCAGGATGGATTGAATAACACCAAGAGGAAGTATTTCAACTTTCGGACAGAAAAATTCTGATGGCTGCCCCAGCTGAGGAGGCAGAAGGTATGAGATGGGCGAGGAACAGTTGAAGGAGATGTCCAGCTCCACACACTGCAATGGCTGGGGCCCAGACACTGACGTTTAGTTGGGCATGTTCCTCCAGAGCAACTCAGAGCTGGAGGTTCACGGTTTCCCCTCTATGGGCTGTGGAGGCCGAGATGCCTTATAGGCACAAATCAGGCTTTGCAAGCTCCTCCTTGTGCCTGTCTTCAGACAAGGAATGGGGAAACATTCTCCTTCCGCCACCTTCACCCTCAAATTTTTAAGAAGGAACAGCTCAGTTACATGTAAAGCTAGCAACAAACAGGCAGTTTTAGCTCTGTGCACAAACTGGTGAGGGAGGGAAGCTTCTGTTGGGAAAAAAAACAAATCTGGGGACACTGTTTATGGCAAAAATGAAAAATTGCTGTGACCTACACAGGTTCTATATTATATCAGTGTCTTAAATATAACCTTTCATTTCCCTCTGAAAAGTGAAAAAAAAGGGCATTTCATAACAAAGTTTCATGCTGAGAAATGCTGAAGGAACAGCAACGTTTAATCCCTTCCCCCTTTTTTATCATTCTAATGCCCACCTGCCCCATTCAAGCTCAGTTTAGAAGCTACGAGCATATGAAGTCTTACCATGTTTTTATGACTGTTTCTATTACTGGGGACCTCCAGAAGGTTTTTCTTTGTACCTGGCTGGTCTGAGGAACATTGGTTGTATGCTCTACTTGTACCATGACAGTCCCAGTACCTCCTTTACCGAATCCTGCGTGATTTTGTCCTCAGCCTTATTTGCAGCTCCTTTGAACATCTAGACAGCTTACCAAATATGCGCTGGAGAATTTACTAACTTATCCGTGCCTGTCCAAGAGAGGGCAGAGTCCCTCCCACACCAGGTGATATGCAGCAACTTAAAAAATACAGCTCCATTTCTTCCAGGTGTGCCTTCAGCCCATAAAACAATCAGTGTCTACAGGATTGTTGCCAAATCTCTATACATACAGTAAATCAAAGAAATAGCAGCATTATAACAGTATGACAGGAAAATCGTCAGCAAACCAAAGTAATTCCCTTTTTATTTCCAATCCTTGCTATTTTCTCCTTCTACAGCCCTTGCAGGGTGTCTGGGCTGGTCCAGACTTGGCAGGTGCTTTCCCTCCTGCACAGAGGGTGATCAGGCCAATCACAGCTGCTGAGCCTCAGGACAGGATGGGGGGAAAGTCAGAGTTTCTTTCTTTTTGCATAATGGTAAAAGCATCCTTTAAACTATGGTTCTTTCTTTTTCCAAAAGCAGCAGAGGCGACGAGGCAAAGGGAACGAAGGTCTCTACCAGGTAGGCAACACATCCAGCACCTGCTCCCCTCATCTAGCTCCATGGCTTAACTGTAGCCCCTCGTTACGTATCTCAGCACGCCGTTAGCAGCGCATGATGAAGCAGAGCTTTCCAAGCACCTTTCTTGAGGACAGTTACTCAGATTCAAGGCACAGACCACACTGCTGGTACTTTGATAAAGTGGCTGCATGTCCTACATACAATGGCAGGGTCACTTGTTTAGCTGCTCTGGTAGGAACCATTTCTGCAGTCCTACATCTTGGAGAACCACCTTTTGACTGCAGCAGATAGTTCTGTCTCCAAATTATTTATCACTTAAATGGAAACCTTCAGGTTGCCAAACAGCTGTTGTAACTCAAAGCATCTGTGGCTCAGCCTGTCTCACTGTGGCTACAGAGCACAAACTGGGCAGCACCTCCAGCCCCTTGGGGCACTGGGGGGTTTCAGTGTCGCAAGGGAGTCCATCAATAAGGCTTTCTTTGGGCTGCCAGGCAGAGTTGTTCCAAAATGCATTTTACTTTCTGTAGAAGCCCAGACATTGTCACAAACATCTCAAAATGACAAAAATGAAATACGTATTAAAAAAGTTCTTTTGAATAGCAGGGAGTCCCTCTGTAAGGTGGCTTATTTGTAGCGAATGGTACCTTTTGCAAAAGCTGCTCTGCTGCTAGTGACAGGAGGCTGATAAGCAGCACTATCCTCTCAGGGCAGTCAGTGCTGCTAAATACTCACAGCAGAGCCACCGGGAGCTAGAAGTTTTAGAGCGGGCACCATGTGTCTTACTGAATCCTCACTCTTGGAAGCCCCAGCTCCCCCAGCTCTGGCTGCCTCCTGGGCCCACCTGCGACTCTGCCACATCTGCTGCTGCTCCGCTCTGGGAGTGGTGAGCTCCATGAGCTGGAGCTGGAACTGGCACATCACAGGTGACTTCCCCCCACCGGTGCAGGCTGGCAGGCGGAGGACTGTGGCAGGGCAGGCAGGGGTGTGAGGGGACGCTGCCTGGGGCTCGCAGCCGTCAGAAGCCCTGCTGCCAAATTACCCAGAGTCGCATCTGACTTCCCTCCCAAATTACGGAGCAGAAGTCCAGAGAACAACGCTCATATAGAGCAAATAGAACAAATAGATTTTATGTCTATTCATTTAATTAGCAGACAAAGTTGACTCGTAATAGTCAATAGTATGTAAATGAAATATACTCTAAAGATCTGCATAACCAGTTAGGATCCATTGCTGTAGTTGTATGTTCAAAACAGTTATTCAGGATGTATCTTACCTTCAGGTAAGTGACAGCTATTGACACCATGCAAAGACTAAGGAAACACTCATGAGTAAAAAAATCTGTAGGAAGGAAAAAACAAATAATTAAAATTATGCTACTGAGCCCCTGCCATCCTGTCCCTGGCCAGTCAGCTCAGGGAGAACTGAGCACTCACGCTGGTACTTCACCTGTTTTTCTCTTTTTCAGGGACTCAGTACAGCGACCAAGGACACTTACGACGCTCTCCAAATGCAGCCTTTGCCCCCCCGCTAGTGGGTGTCACGGAGGGGATGGGCACGGGTGAGAGATGCCCACCCGCCCTGGGGAGGAGAGGAGGGAGAGCCTTTTTCATCCAAAACAAGCACCGTGTATTTTCTCAATGCATCTACCTACTTTGGCTGGTGCACAGAGAGAATATGTCTGGACTTGGTCAATCCCTTCTCCCTTCCCTCTTGAATCATGTAACTGCAAGCTTTAGCTATTAAAATGTACATATCTGTAAAGTTGTTTCCAATAATAGTGATTATTAGGCCCATTCTTGTAAGATTTGTGTTGTGGGACCAGACCACACCACCTAGACCAGCTGTTGCCGTAGCTCTTGCTTGTCTTCCAGGGGTATCAAGACTCGTAATTATGATTTAATTGCATTTTAAGAACTTGTAAAGATAGGGCTGTAGTTATCTCCTGTAGTATTTATCTTTAGGCTATTTGACATAGACCACCTAAAATTTTTGCTTTAAATTTACCTTTTAAAAACCACTTCAGTGGGGGATGACTTTTTTCCTGTAATTGTAAAAAGTGATGTGATGTTACAGTAGTGAAGGACAGAGGCTAAACGCCAGCTTTTCAGTACAAAGAAAACAAGCGTAAAGCTCCAAGAAAAGATCAAGCAATGGCATTGCCACTCATCCAGCACCTGGAGCTAACCACGAGCCAGGGAACCTGCCTACGAGAGCTCTCAGAAGGTGGAAGATACCCCTGTTCCAATGAGAACAAGGAGTATGGACTCTCCTAAGAGAATAATATGGAAGACTCGGGAAAACTCACCCTGGAGAATCTCCTGGCTGAAGGGGTCGGCTGAACCCTTTGCCCCCTGGCGTTAGCAACACCTACAGCTCTCGCTGCAGAACGGGCTCCCCTTGTAGGAGCTGCCGTGGCAGTTCCATGTCAGACACTGACCAAAACACTCGCTTGTGGGCAGCGCAAACTGCACAAAAGCCAATGTAAACGCAGTTTCCACAGCAGTCTATCATCAGGTTACCTTTAAAAGACGATGCAGATATTACTCCAAAGACATTGAGTAATTCAGTAATGTGATGTGGTTTTGATGAATTAATAAAGTTAGCGTCCAAGAGCCGTGTGTGCGTGGTTAACAGCTGTGGGAGCGGCACAAGCTCAGCAGGCGATGCGGTCAGGGGTTGGACCAATTCCCACCCAGCAGCATTGTCTCCTAGGCAAGCTGAGGAGGGTGGCATTGCACCAGGAGCTTCTAAACACATCCTGGGAAGTGGGATGGGATGTTGCAATGGGGAAGAAATTCTTAGGGAAAAAACATCACCTTTATATATAAATGGATCTTGATTTCAAACTGCAGCCAACGCTTGTTTCGGGGACACTCACCGTAGGTGTGAGGTGACTCTTCTCTTTGCCTTCAGGAAGCAGCTGAAGCTGTTTTTCCTTTGAGGAGAGGAGTTGATAAAACAGAAGCAGAATAAAAGCTTCAAGCGGAGCGCAAAAAACCCTGGGCTCTCCTCCATTTTGACAAGACAAAGAGCATGGAAGAACAACCTCCTGGCCCAGTTTGATGCGGCGGAGGGGGGAGGGGAATTAGCCTTCCCCAGATACATTTAAAAAACTACAAACAAGCACATACATGTTAAAACACTTGGAAAATGGTTTAATGATGTTTACAACAGAAATGAACTGTACAATTACAGTAAGTTTAATATATATAAAAAATTACAGCAGACAAATGCATCTACACAAAAATCTACCTTTTCATTCTGATTTACTGTAATCTACACAATCTCTCAATGCCTACAGCTATCTGTAGGCAACCACTGGGAAAATAATAATAATAATAATAATAAAGGACATCTTTAAAGAGACAGCATTTCGCCTTCCTCCTCACCCCTAGTGTGATCAGCGAGGTTTTGAAATGTGTGGGACTCTCACATTTCAGTTTCAAGAAAAGCTTGGGTTGGGTTTGGGTAGGGGTACTCCCACATGGCCCTCCATTTCAAGTGTTCTGCTGACCTGACGCGTATAAATGCAGTATAAGAGGAAGGGCAAGAGAAAAAAACCCTCCCAGCCAGTGTAAGCAGGCAGCTGCACAGAGTAGTGAAACCATTAAGACTGAAATTTTCTCTTATTTAGAAAAGAAGCAAAAAGGGACTGCCCAGACGCTACAGACGTTCACAAATCATCAAAACCTATTGCCGGATTTAGAAGAAAGGGCTTGTTTTTCAACTCCCAATTCTTTGTACAAAGGGTTAGCTTTCAAACGAACGAATTAAGCATTTTTTTTTAAACAAAATTTAAGCCACTTCCTCTTTGGCCCATCCCTAAAAAACAGTGAAAACCCCTTTACGCTGAGAAAGAACCTCAGGTCAATGGGGAAACAAAAAGAACATGCTGTCTCTTTAAAAAGAAAGAAAGAATCCCAGTTGGGAGCGGCCGTCAGTGAAAATGCGATCCAAATTGGCGGTCTGGTGGAAATTCCTCATGGAATATTATGTACAGTTTAAAAACCCTTAGTTGTTTTTTTTTTTATTTATTTATGAACACCTAGGCAGTGAAAACTGTTATGTTAATACATACATAGACACACCCAAAACATACAAAAATACTATTATTTCAAACTACTAAGAATAGGACAAGTTCAGTTATCTCCATGCTATGACTTTAAGAGCATTACACTGAAACAAACAAGAATTTAAACGACAATTTTTTAATATCCCAGAAATATACCAAAATATACATCTAAGCTTTGGAATTACTGAGGTTAGACTAATGCAAGTGCTGGGTAATCGTACTTAATACACAAGTCTAAGGTTCTGCAGGAAAGAAATTATCTTTGGTATCTGCATCAGGCTAATAATATTAACATTTGGATTTTGCTTTGGGATAGAGCTTGTATGACCCTAGAACCAAACACCCCCCAATCAACTGAGATTAAAAAGATCCATGTAAAAAGTTCCTCCATTTGCAATCCCCCCCCCAAAAAGTTAAAAAGTCACAGGCATCTACCTAGCATAAAAGGTTGAGAAATACAATGCATAGTTGCACAGTGGTGCTGCAAAAATAAAAGAAATCTAGAAAAAAGGAACTAGAGGAGAAATGAAAAGCTGCTTCTTCTTCTTTCAGGGATTTCTCTCAACAGGACAGCCTCTTCCAAGCAGTGACGGGGGAGGGGGGAAGCTCAGAAGTGCACCTCAGCGTGTATTAATCAACATCACCCAGCCCCCAGAGGGTTAAAGCACCCAGCAGAGCAGCCAATCCTGCACCCAAGTCTTCAGCTCCTCAACCCACCTGCGCAGCCCCCGGCCGCCCCCTCCCAGCGCCTGTGCCCCGGATTTTGCCCCTTCCCGGGGTGGCGAGTTTGGGAGGCGGCCGGGCCCGGGGCAGCAACCCCTCGCCCGGGGCAGCCCCTGGGGCCGGGGGCCGGGCTGGACCCCCGAGCTGGACCCTGGCAGAGACCCTGGCCCCGGCCAGGCCGGCCTCACAGGTGGGCTTGGTGCTGAAGACGCCCTTTGTCTTTGGTTTGTTTGTTTGTTTTGAGTTTATACAATCATTAGGAAATCTTTGGTTTTGGCTGGAAATTTTAAAAGAACAAAACAAAACAAAGAAACCGCCCCCTCCCGACTTATAGCAGCCACCGTGACCTGACAAAGCTTCTCTTTCCCATGGGGGTAGGGGAACTACATTCAAATAAAGATGGACCGGGTTAAGGATGCAGCTTCTGGCCAGGCTGGGGAGCGGGGAAGGGATACAGGATTGTCAAATAATAAAGAAGAAAATTAAATATTTGGAGATTTTTTTTTATTTTTCTTTTTTTTTTTTCTTTTTTTTTTTCTTTTTTTGGTCATGTTAAAAAGCGAGTAGCGTGTTCGCAGCACGGGGCTGAGCGCGCTCCGGGCCCTGGAGCTCAGGGTGGCCCCGGGGTGGGGAAAGGCAGGGCGGGCGGCCCTTTTCCGAGGAGAGCGGAGGGGAGGGGGTGGATATTCACAGACTAATCAAGAGGACCCCTTGTAACCAAAGGAAATAAGGTAAGATTGCAATTTGCCCTCACTTTGCAGTAGCTTTTAAGCAGCGACATTCAGAGGCGTTGGGGGGTCACTCCCCAGGTTGCAGGTCACGGGGTGCTATAGGCCAGAGTTCAGTGTTAATCAAAGGAGGGAGGGCAGACTTGGCAACTCTGTAGGGTTTGGAGAAAGTTAAAGCAAGTTACTCGGTTACGAGTTAGAAATGAGGTATACGACAGCTCCTGTACCTGTGGCGGATAAAACACCCCACACCTACTCACACCTAGCCTTAGATACTACCACAGAGGAAGGAAATGGAACAACGGCACTGGCGGGGATGAAGAAGCTACTGCCCGGGTCCTTCCCACAGACCGCCCGCGGGCGAGGTGTCCCACGGGGACCGGCGCGACCCCGGGGCTCCTCACACCACCCGCGGGCGACTCTGCGGCCATCCCTTCCCTTCCTTCCCTTCTTCCCGCCGGGCGGGGAGGCCCAGTCCGGCGCCCCGGGCCCGGCGGGGAGCGGGGCTCATCTCCAGCTCTTCCGCATTGCGTTTTCCCCTCGGACTCGCCGGGGTGCAGGGAGCACCAGGGTCACAGAGGCCGACACATGGAGAGTGAATGGGGGAAGAACTAAAGGGTTTGTCTCAACTGCCTTGCTCTCAGGACACTGTCACGGGTGCTCTCCTTCCTGAACCGTTTCTCAAGGGGGTTGTGCCATCTCCAGGGCTGCCCCTCGGCATGCCGTTTCCAACAGCCTAGGGCTCCTCCCGTGTCAGAGTTTGGGATTGCCAGAGCACCGCAACATGCCGGTTCCGTTACCGCGCTCGGGGAACAGGGCTCGAGTAGCTGCTGCTACCACATTCAGCAAAGGCAGTGTGAATCCTGAAGCGGGGCCTACAACAGATGAGAGAATTTTTGGAGGAAAGGGGAAGCTACCTTAATAAATTAAGTATCTTACGGTTTTACGTAAAGCTCTGCAGGAGAACATTCACCCGCAGACCGACACAGTTTTAAGACAGATCAGCATTTTGGTCTGAGCTACTTGACAATGTCCTGTTTGGTAGAGATGAAATAAGGCAGAGGGGGTATGTTCCAGTTCTGGGGCTGAGCCTCAGCAGCACTAAGGAACGCCAAAGGGTATCATCTTCCCTCGCCTCCCACAAGCTGTTTCATTTCCTTCCTCAGATTTGTTTTCCTTAAAGCACACCTTGTTTTCCACTTCTTTTGTTCCAAGTGCTCTTTTCTTTGAGAAGTCATTTCTTCAATATCCCTATTACCTATCTATAAATCTAACTAGCTCTTTGAAAAGTCACACAATATTAATACCACTTTTACATAATGTCAGAACAACAATTCTATTAGTAAAGCTTTCAGTGAAGTTCTGCAACCCGATTGGTGTCCGGAGGAAGAGTAGCTGGACAACCCACCTCTCCCCCTTCCCCCCCTCCCTTTCTTCACAAGAGCTCACCAAGTTCACGGATAAAACAACTCAGCCCAATAGCACGATACATGAACATGTACAAGGCTACTTTGGGGAGCAAAGAAGGGAGTCTTCGAGGTCCCTCTTAAGAGAAAGACCATATGCAAAAGCTGTTGAACAGACTCTGACCTTGGACTACACTGCTTCCACATTCAAAGGAAAGAAACAGTTTTCCCTGACTGTATCCCAACATCAGCCTAAGACCTGCAGCACCGGGCAAGCCCCACACGCCGTTTGTCTTCACAGAGCCAAAGCAACTCTATGCAGAAAAGGTGGGAGTACCCACAAGAGATGAGGTCCTTTCAGAAAGGGACACTGACCCAAAGCTCAACAAAAGCCCACCCAGCTTTTCCTCTTACCCGCTCTGAGAACAGCAGAGCTGACAACTTATCAGTGCCTTTGGTTCCCTACGAGGCCACCGGGAATTCTCCCGCCCCAGTGGAGTCGAGCTCCTTTAGAAACCCACCTCCCTCGATCGCTACACGCAGCCAGGCGCACACACGCACTTGCACACACACCCACGCACAGCCCTCTCCTCCTCCCCGACTCCGTCGGCCTCGAAGGGAAACGAGAAGGGAGCCTTGGGGTCCGGATGGAGGGGGTGCAACACCCTCCCAAGGCAATAACCACTCGCTCTTCTGCTACTCCCACTGCAACACCAAGACGTAGGCCAGGAGAACGACCCTCTCCCTCGCCAACAACCCCTCCAGACTCCGCTCCCACGACCGTCTGGCAGTGTTTCCACCCTTTCTGGCATACCAGCCAGGTGTTAGGAGTAGGTTAGCTTTCACTTCTCAGTTTGGTTTTTTCTTTCATAGTTTTTGGTCTAGACAGGATTAGCATTGCTATTAGAAAAGGAAGTGTTTAAAAAGTTTTCCACCTAGTATCAAGCACTACAAGCCCTACATTCAGTAACAAGACAAGGGGGATAAAAGGAACCTGTTTCACTTTTGCTCTCCCAGATAGAAGATTAAGATGCGACAACCGTTCTTCTCCCTCCCCGAAGTTAAACACAACGGACCCAGTTCAGCTCTGGAGCGAGTCAACTAACCAAAACCGATTTACATCACCCAGGTTGATTCTAACCCAGTACAGCTATCTTTTTCTCTCCGAGCCTCCCGGATACACGTTGCCTCATCTACAGATGCCAGCGAGGGGCAAGGGAAGGCCAAGAGGGAGGGGAGTGTGCACACACTCGAAAGGACCCTGAACAGCAACCCAATCAGTAACCTGCATGCCACCACGTGCTGTGCTGCAGATTAGACCACAGATAAACCAACCAAACAACAATCCCAAACCCAGGAGCGACAAAATGTTTCCTTTGGCAAGACAGATACAAGGAAAAAAATTCATGAGCAAACATTTTCCTTCTAACACAGTCAACCCCCTTCTCTGCCCCCAACATCCACCCACCCCCACCCAACCCTATAAAGTTGTAACCTATAAACAGGATCTCAAATACATACAGCATAATCATGTTTATCAGTCATAATAAACATCAGTTCAACTAAACTCTACAGCTAGAATTATCTCCACTATTTATAAAGTTTGCTTTTCTCTTCTGATTTTTTCAGTTTAAAACCAGTTCTGCGACAATGCTAAGCTATGCTGAGGTATTTTATGAAGGTGCCAGAAGCCAGCTGCTACCCACAAGTATTGTTCTCAGAGCTGTATGGTGCTACCTTTTGCTGCGGGAAGATGGGGGAAGGAACAAGGAGGGAGAGGGAAGGAGGGAGGGAGGGAAGGGGCCCAGATTATTCCAGTTACGGATGGTTCTTAGCAGGGTATCGCAGACAGAACTAAAAGCAGCCCCAAGACAAAGCCCAGTAGTTGCTTCAGTTTTAGGAATTCGGTCAAAAAAGAGGTACCTGATCATGTTCTACATCCTGACCTTATCTGTCTACTCAACTAAAAGGTGTCTCTTCCCTTCTCCCACAGTTAAACCACTTGTAAATTCCAGTGCAATCTTCCTAACACCCTTCTAACAGCATCCCACGGGGGTAAAACCTCAGAGCAGGTATCCACTAAAACCGTCATGGGAGAAGTGGCACACAGATCCAATGAATATAGAGAAGCCAAAAAAAAAAAATCAAGTACATTTTCAGGAGTTACTCTGTGTGTTTGCGAAGATATGCAAGTACAGGCATCGCCTCTTTCCATCTCCCCAAAAGCACTGACACACAGGGAGCCAGGTCCGTTCAGAAGACGGAGCGAAAGATATGAACATTTTAAGAAATGGCAAACCTTAAGAAATTGAGCCAATAACTTAATGGAAAAGCCTCCTCTGTCAAAAATCTTTACAGTATTTTAGGGGTCTCCCCACTGGAAAGAAGAGAAAGACTCAAAAACGGCAACGGGAGTGAGATTTAACAACTGCAAAGAGTTAAACCTCTAAGAGTAGAACTTCTGCAAGGTGTGTATCTTGAATTCCGTATTGCTATAGTATTTTGGAAAGAGAGGGAGAAGTAAAAAGATTATTAGTTGCAAAAATATAAAGGAATTTAGTTGGCTATGTGAGGACTGACAATCATAAACCCAGTGGGGAGCAGCAGGTTAGCTTAGTCCTTTGGTAACACTCTATCTACCCTAGGCAACACTCAGGTGTACATCCAACAGGTGTACCCATGCCCTGTGGATAAACATTATTTAACTGGTTCAGGCAGAACAGGAATAGCGACTCTGAAAAAAGTTAGCATGGCAATAAATTGATCTACCTTTTAAACTCCTGGTAAAAAACAACTATCATTGAAGGTTTGGACCAGACGTGCCATTTTGTTTGTCTCTAAACATTCTAATGACCTTGAGAAGCTACGCATCTCTCTAAGACGATTTGGTAAATTTTTATCCAAGAAAAAAATGAATTGATATGTAAGGTAAATCAGATGTTCTTTAGTTTATTATCCGTGTTATGGTTCCAGCTATAATGGGTGTTCTGCTCCATCTATAAGAAAGAAAGAAAGAAAGAGGGAAGTTCTCTTTTAAAGAATGTTGCTCTGCAGGACCACGCACAGAGCTAAGGAATTAACACTACTATCTCCTTCAGTAACTCAACCACAGAACCATGTGCTGAGCCAAAGTGTACTGCAAAGCTTATAGAGATGACGTTTCAACTTTAGAAGGAACCAAAACATTAGGTTACAGTTCAAAGAGAAGTAAATAAAAAGAAATTTTCTCACACCATCATTGCCATGGATGAACATGGAGAATTTTCTCTACTGTGGTTTGAAAACAGCCATTCTCTTGCTGCCCCCTGAGCAAAACTGGTTATTTTTATGATGTTGTTTTGGGTTTTTTTAAGGAATTAATTACCCTAAAATATTATGGCAAGATACCAAAAGACCAGAAGTATAATTTTTTTGTCTGCATTTAATGCTCCCTGTAAAATATGTAAAATTTAAATAAGAAAAGGGGTAAAATAGAGACAGAGCTCTTGCTCAAATGAAAAGCTATCACACCATGAGAGAACATTTGTTCTTGTGTGTTAAGATCAGCAGATAGCTTCTTCGCTCACCGTTGGCATCCCTATGATTAACCTAAAAGGTGCAACAAATCGTAAGTTGTAACTCCAAATACATCAGGAGCTATACTGTTTTCACTGAAAATCTCTTTGTCACTCTGTTCATTTAAAGATAAAATTCAAACTTGAAGCTTCTGACATCCTAAAAGGTCTATAATTCAAGTCATCAGAATGTGTGTCTTCCTCTTAATGTTCTGGCATTTTAGTTTTCTCCTTCAATATAACCTCACTAACACTCAAAGTTTCTGAGCAACAACAGCAACACATTCCTACATGAAGATCCATCTAACTTTCAAGCATGTTCTCCTTGCTGGGTCAGCTGAGCGTAGAGTTCCCATTCATGGTTAAGTGACTTTTTCAACTCAATTTAACTTGCACTTTGACAACTATTTATTGAAGCAGAGGATCTTAAGAAGTAGGATCTTAAGTAGTAGGAAAAATAATGTGTCATCAAAAGTTACCCAAAGGAAAACAAAAAACTGATGTAACACTAGCCTATGGGCTGGAAAAAAACCCACCTCTTAAAAATCAGGTGCTTGTGCACGTAACATGCATGGTATCTCCCTCAAAATTTTTTGAGTGCATGCACATACACACCATCTCAGAGCAACATGATTAAATGTACTTAGACTAACATATACCGCACAGTAACTCAGAAACAAAATAAATCCTCTTAAGGAGATTTAAATAGACAGATGTGACTCCTGTAAGCAGCCATATCTGTGTGTACTTTCTATGAGCTGTTCATGAATCATGCTACAGTGAGTACAGAGAGCATGTTCTGAGGAGATCAAGAGTGCCAAAGCAAAACTGGAATATATTTTCCTAACATCAGAAAAAAAATTCATCACTAGCCTACAACAGCTCATCCTGAAGCCATTTTCTAAATTGTTCTTCTAGACCTTCAGGGCATATCTGTATTTGTGCCTCTGTAAATCTCTTGCTTTTTAAGCTAACTGTCCCTGGCTATGATGAGAGAGTTTTTCACCTTCTCTTTTCCTGCTTATGCCCTTTGGCATGCTTGCAACTATGAAAAGCAACCCACACATATTTAAATACAGAGACGTGGAGCCCTGAAAAAGAGCTGTTATTATTCTTTCCTAACACACTCTGGAATTACTTCTGGTCCTGGCTGACAAATCAATATGGGAGAAAACGTACCAGCATCCAGCTAGAAGACTGTCTAGAAATGAACACTTGCACAGAAAATCTTCCCCTGAAAAGAACAGTGAGGAATTAAGGCTGTGAGCAGGTAACAGAAAATCATCTCTGTTCAACATATGAACCCACAGATACTAGAATCAGAGATGTAACTATGTGTCATTGGAGGAAAAAATCAAATTTGTTTGCTAAATGTATGTCCTGGATCTGTCAGCAAGTTTGTGACAATGTATGTCCCAGTGTCTACTACAACAGTAATTCTCCATTTTCAACACTCAGGAACTCTTATTTACTAGGTCTGTATACAAACGTTACTGTCTCTTTTCAGATGCATCAATTTCTGCTGTCAGCATGATTATGATTTAAAAAACCAAACTTCTGCTAAATTGCAGTACATGATCTCATATTCCTTTCATGCTCTGAACGAGCCTAACCACTCTAACTAGGCAGATATACACCTGCTGCCAGTCTCATTTCTGTCTTTCACCTAAACACTGGAGGTAGTCAGTATCCACGAGACAAAATACTTCTAGGGATGAAAAGCAGGCTCTAAGAGTAACAGTCAGTCATTGGGATATTTTAGGACAACGAACCAGATCACGCTGGTGATGGACACCATGGGATATGTGCTGTTTGGGTATTATGTCAGCTTCTGCAAGAAAAACCAAGCCCTTTCTGGATATGTGGCTACTCCGAGTTTCCAGTTTCTCTCAGAAAAAGACTTGCTAAGAAATTCCCTGGAATCTGGGCCCCAGAGAGGGTGAAGGGGTAGAGAGGAGGAGGGTAAGGGGGTATAAGGTGCTCACACCAAAGCCATGTGACCAATGCAAAGGTAGTCAGGAAAAAAAGCAGATTTTTATAATAAATAAACCATCCAAGCTGCATTAGTGTTCCAGATATGTACTCAACAAGACCCTCTCCCAACCACAAACCAGCAAGAATGGGACATGAAAACTCATTCAGACAGCTAATGGCACAGTCTCTTTAAACTGTGGAGAGAGGATTTTCCGCTGATTTAAGGCCCACCTTTCTTTGTGTTTCCTAGATATATGCAAGGATCACGTCCCCCTACCCTGCCACAAAACCCTTAGGGAGTAGAGGATACACCAGAGAAAAGACCGGTAGTATCCCCCCTTTAACAAAAAAAGCTTCCTGATAAATCGTATTTTTGCACAGGCGTGAAAGTAAGCGGGAACTTTCAGAGTCAGGAATGAAGGTTATAGCTGCACTTTTTCCCGTCCTCTTACTTCACTGAACACAAGTCCCAGGGACTTGCATTCCTTTGGTAGAAACTGTAGTCTGTGCTATGGCCTCCAGCCCAACATAGCGGGTACCAGCATCTTCTCCTCCTTTTCTTCCCTACCTCCCTGAAGCTCACCCAGCTATATCTTTTACTGCTCTGAAGCTATTACTGTGGGCCATTTCTATTTCTGCAGTATTATTCATAGCCCTAAAAGTCTCCTGCACAGCCTGGAGTCATAAAGACACATCAAAAATACTTAAATTTATCCATACTGGTGGGATGAGGGTGGGACCTGTTGGATTAACAATCCTCTGACATTGCCATTCTATTTACACATCAAACAAAAGAAAACAAATTAAAATCAAGTTAAGAGTCTGCCCCAAGGATAACACAAATTACCAACCAAAAAAAAAAAAAAAAGATTAAAAACAAGCAGCAACTTTTATATAAAATTAATAAAAACAAAAGACAAATGAAAAAGAAATTGTCAGTAGCATCTATCGCCTCTCTGCATCTGAACTGCACTTATACAAACTAGTCCATTAGTACAGCAGCTTGCTAGAAATTGACTTTGGTTCAAGCTTAGTTTTAAAAAAATAAAACATAAAAAAATCAAAACACATTAGAAACGGTGGACGGACATTTGTTAGTTTCCCTGCTTGCAGTTCACTAGTTTTGACATTTTAGGGATAATTGGTTTAAATACTCAGTAAAACAGGAAGGTGGAGAGTTAAAGATGAACAGAGCAAAAACATGGCGGTGGGGGGAGAGATAAGGGGTTCTGCCACTTGAGTGCAAACGCAAATGCCACATGCTCAGGTCACAAACCAAAGCATATGTAGAGTTTAAAGTTGCTGCCTTCTGGATCTTGGATGAGAAGCTCCAGGATCCCCCTGAATCATCAACAAAATGAACATAGCTGCATCAGCTCATTATTTTAGGACACTCTGGTGACAAAAGAAAAGGGGGTGGGGGGAAAGGGACTCTTCTAATACCGTCGCTGGCTACAAGTAATTTAGTTTTATACACATGGCAGAAACTGTTAAATCCATCAGGAATCGAAAGTTCAAAGTGAACTGCATTGCAGTGATCCAGTCTTCTCTTTTCAAAAATCTTTTTTTTTTGGTTCAGGTACTAGATTGTATATTTAAGAATATACAGATCTAACTTCTGTACAGTTCATTACTCTTCCTCATCCACGTAAATATCTGTTGCTACATGGATCAGAATCAACCTTGAAAAGATCGCTCCAGTGGCACGCAAGCCCCGACACTCTGGTCAGAGATGCTTATTGCCATTTTTAGACAGCTAGCAGCAACACAGCTCAGAGACTACAAGAGATCACCCAGGTATGTGCAAAGCCCCAGAGTCAGCTCTACTGCGTTGGCATAAACGATGGCAACTTCTGTTCTCGCACTGTTGGTTTGCGGTCAGAAGCACTTTTTTACTAGAAAGTTTTTCTAAATACAATGTTGGAAGCATCAGAAGTAACGGAAAAGGAATATTGCTATGAACAGGGAGAATCTGGTCTTTTGAAATCCTGTACCAATTCACCTGTCAGGAATCTAAGACTGTAACTGCTACTTTGCATACTGCCAATTAGCTTGGATAATGTTTTAGAAGTATTTGTGTATGCTCTTAACAGCAAAATCAAATCAATAGAAGAGCCATCGGTATGTCACACAATCTAGATTCAGGAGGTCAAATCCCACTCTGAAGTAAAAAGGAATCATGCACACAACGTTAAGAGCAGAATTTGGTCATTTTGTCTAAATAATTGAGAGAAGGAGAACTGCAGTTTGGAACCAATTCCTACCTCTGCTTAAAAAGCATAGACCAGCCTGGAAGTTTGCACACAATGATCTCTGCTGCTACACTGAGCTTCCTGCACAAACGATGAACATAAATTCTTCTGATCCCTCCAAGTAACCATTAGACAAATTCAAGGATGAGGAAACTGTTCAGAACGTTCCCAGAAGGTTAGGACAAAGTCTATTTGTGCTCCATTCTTCCTCTCCACCCTCCCGCCCTCCCCCCATGATGTGGGAGCTCGCTGAAAATAATCCAGGAGCAAAAGACAAACGCGTCCAAACTATATATATAAAAATAATAATAATAATAATCATAATAATAATAATAGAGATACACCAGTAATACAGGCCTGCCTAAATTGTACCAGTTAAGAAAGGAACCCCCAACACGATTGATACGATTATAAACACCTTGTATGACATAATGGCCTGTACAACAGACCTATAAAATGATAATTAAAAAAGAAAGATATTTCGACCAAAAGAAAGAAGAAATCCCCTTCCTATGTTTGAGTTGATAACCCACCTTAACTTGTCATTGTGACTGCTGGAAATGATAAGTAGTCCTTTCACTTTTTTTGTGGTTTTTTGTTTTTTTGTTTTTTGTTTTTTTTACATTTTTGGTTAGAAAGTTCTCCGATCCATGAAGCGATCCTGAAAAGACAGTGTTTATTATAAAATTAGGCAAATGTCTGTCCCAGCTTTAAATCCTTCCTGTTTTGCTTTTGTTTTTTTATATTTTTCCTTCTCTCCCTTGTCCCCAGCAACACGGCGAGAGGATGCCCATCACATTTTCAGTTTATAAACCCCGCTGGCAGCCAATCCCGCCGCACAGTGAAACAGGCTGCTGGCAGCACAGCTCAGCCCGGCTCACTGTGCCTTGGAGGCAGTAGTGGTGGTGGACGTGGCCCCGCTCGCAGAAGCCACCGTGAGGAGAGAGTTCTGGATGGACTCGGCTGAGGTGGAGGTGGCGTGAAGGCTGGCGACTGGTCCAGAGGCCCCTGCGGAGGCTGCAGCTGCAGAGACCAAGCTAACCGGGTTGCTGGTGAGCAGAGAAAGGTTCTGAGGGTTCAGGAACAGAGGGGCAGTTACGATGTTAGGAGTACCTCCGGCATTGGCAAACACCAAGTTTCCAGTTGCATCCAGTGATGTTATTGGAAGAGAGCCACCAGATGCAAGAGCTAAAAGAAGGAAAATTGGGCAGGGAGGAGATAACATTAGCAGTAAGCAACAATGCAAAACGTGCCCAAAAGCAACTGGTCGCTGCATTGTCCTTTCTCTACACCACTAATGACAGTCACCTCATCACGGGTTATTTTTTAAAAGAGCAACTCTTAATGAAGAGTGGACAAGGCCACTAAATAGATACTAGTCTATAGTCTAGGCTACTAGATAATAGTGTAGATACTAAAATGCCTCTGTCATCCGCTCCTAAGCTAATTCAATCATGCCTTTCTTCAGATCTTTACTGCAATACTGGTCTATGTTTCCTGCCACAGAAAATCTGTATGTTCTCACAACCTGTACTGGAAAGGATTCAGACGAGCGCTCAGATGAAATGACAACCATCGCAGGATAAAGAAGGCCATGTAAGCTTAAGTGTAACATTTTAAATGTTGACCAACAACTACTGTTACAACTTATTCTCACTGGTCTACAGGGTTCAGTCTGCCTTAGATTATATCTCCTAAATTTATCTGTGATACTTTACAAAATGGTTCTTTCTTGTACTCTGGAAACAAGATTTGTTAAGCTAGTTGGGAGGATATTTGAATACCTAGGTTAGCTAGCTCTTTAGGCACTTGCACCATCTAGTTTTTACAGATGACAAACTATGAGAGACAAACTAAGAGAATAATTCTTGCTGAAGTCAGTGGAAACTTCTGGCTGCTTGGCACTTCCAAAATAAATCTTTACATCTCTGTATAAGGATTTATGTATTTACAGCTCTACATAAGGACTTTAGGTCGTTATAGGTTCTTTTTTAATATATATGAGGACAAGAGTTCAGGCTCAAGTCTTGCTCAGAACTACCCTCCTAATAGACATCAAAACAGTGCAACTCCGCTCAAGCTTATGTTGGAAGAGCTATAAAAAGTAAATCTCTAACCTGCTGAAGATACATGCCAATAGAGGAAGGATGACGAAATAAATTCCAGATCACATTCAGTATCTTAAATGCCTCCTGTAAATCCCTACAAGACCATAGACATTTCTAATCCCCTTTCTGAAGTTGTACCTGCTCTTCCCTCTGTGATACATAACATGTATTTGTAAATTTTATAAAATGATTATTTGTGTAACATTTATGTCCAGTGCTGAGGAGTCACTGTTACTTTTTGGTAGAGAAAAACAAAGCAGGTAAACCGAAGCAGTACAACCAAGATACATTAAAAGGAACACTACTGACCTTGAATAGTTGCCAGTGTACTGTTGCTCATCAGGGCCGGGCTGAGAGCACCACCTAATGTCCCTGGATTGAGGCTGAGTAAGGCACCTCTGCAGGAAGCACGATCATGGAAGAAGAAACAAAGGCAAAAGGAAGAAATGTTACTTTTAAGAAAAGGTTGCCATTGTCAGAAGTACACCATCATATTTAAAAAACAGGGAGAGAGAGGAAAGACCAGAGATTAAGGGCTAATTTTAGTTTCATTTAGTTTTTCCTTCATGATGCCTTGAGTAGATGTTGCCTTTCAGTTGCGTAGTGACATGCCTGAAGTATGTTGCACTGTACAACATGCTGCAAAATATTCTTGTAAAATATTTTGGAGAAACTGCCACTTGTTAGAGAGCTACCATCATCTTCCAAATTCAGGCAAGAAAGATGTAAATCAAGAGGAATTGAAGAAACAAAGAGTCACCTCTCAGAGCAAAATTTTTAAAACAAAGACTGCAACAATACATCATCATGCATCTTTTACAGCTTCTTGCTCATGAAGGACAAATGAATAGAGTTATGAAGTGGGTTTAGGTTAGCTCTCCATTTTACAATTAGTAGAACAAATTCTATGATCTACTGGTAAGTTGCAGCTCTTAAGCCAAGCTCTGCAGTGGGATGGATGACTTATCAAATAACAACATTGCCGCAACACATCCATTAAATGAAAACAACATTTGTGTATGTTGATGGGACTGGCCAGTTACCATCTACAAGTAAACCTTCAGAACTTGAGATAAATGACCCTAGAATCACCAAGTGAGCTACCAGAAAATAACAATACATAAAAGCAATTTATCCCAAAGATTCTCCTGCCCTCTTCTGTCATCTCACCTAAAAGCATGTGAAAAATTCATACTTACCCAGCTGCAAACTGCGAGGATGCCATCAAGCCTGGGTTTAGTCCTGCTGCAGCAGCCATGGCAGCAAGACTCGCATTCGCAGGCAACTGTGCAGCTCCTTGTAACGCAGCTGCTGCCGCTGTTTGCAACCCTGATGCCGTTACCATCACCTGGCTGGTCCCAAGAGGGGAGGACAAGGGAGCGGAGGTTGTCTGTGTTGTGCTGGTCTCACTGGCACTGGATGCCTCTGAATTGGAGGCTGAGGCAGAAGGGGAAGGACTCAGGGAGGGTGATGTCACTGCTGAAGAAGCTGGAGGTGCTGTTGAAATCACTGTTGCCGTGTTGTTGGAGGTGGTTTCTGTTGTGCCTAGAAGATTGATTCTGGTTAGGTCAGTATAAAACACAGATATGACTGCACAGAAACTACTACCTACCTGTACTGAACTGCACATCCAACTGAAAGGGAGACACACACACATTTCTGTAGGACCAAGAAGCACCAAGAGTCCAAATGAGAAGCTCAGACTACAATGAAATGACACTTTCCAACAGGAGGCTGAGGAGCTCTAGAAGCTAGCAATGGATTATAGCATATTTCATTTCAGCATCACCTGTGATGTTACCCCCAGAAAAGTCAATTGAATGGTCACAAAGACTGAAGTTTCCTAGTGGAGTAACAAGGAAAAATGACAAGAAAATCCTGGGATACCAGTGACCAATGCTGAATGACCTTTTGAAGAGGTTAAAACGGAGAAATGGTAGAGGTTAATGTGGGGTAAAAGAAATGAGCCTTACCTGTGACTGACAGACTAGTTACAGCAGGACTGGTCAGAGGGAGCACAGGATTGACAGTCAGGGTTGTAGCTGCACTGCTAGTCACAAGGCTTGGCGTGGTTGCCACCTGGAGGTCAAAAAAAGAATACAACTGCTCATCTGTTAAAAGACAAAAAGAGTTATCTACTAGACTTGGATTTCTTCCCATCATCAGCTGAGGAAGTTAGCAGGGAAAACTGCATAGAAACTAACTTTTTTGTAATTCCATTACTTTAGGATTCAGTGGAATCCTAGTTACCTTCTCCAATTACCAGCAGAATCTTTATTCTTAATCATTCAGTATTTGAAGGGAGATCCATTACACCCATACAGTCTCGAGAGTGCAAGTTAGCCCTCCCTCTCTGCCTCCCCTCAAAGACAGCACCTTGTTTTAACAGTCTTACAGAAAGAATTACAAAATATATTCTTTCTGCATGGGTTTTTTTTCTTGTTTAAACATCTTTTGAGCTCCAAATTTCTTTCTCTGATAAAATTATTTCAATGTTCCAGCATTACCAAAGGCATTTAGGGTAATGTGTTTACATTGATAAACAGAATAACATTTTGCTTTTACTCAGCCAAACTATACACTCTACTTTGATAAGTTTCCTTGTGCCAGAGGAAGGGTCTCTGAACTTTAAAACACTGAAAAGACATTAGCTAATTTTACTTGTGGACAGCTTATTACAAGAAAGCTACAATAAACTGAAGACTTTACAGATAAAAAACACCAAAGATTGAAGACTGGAAGAACTAGCTTATGAGGAAAAATTACATAGAAGAAGAGAAAGGACTTTTTATGGACAAGAAATGGTGTCCAACAGTAACATTTGAAGGCTGTTATACATCAATGAGAGAAATGAGTCCTTTAGAATTGCCCAAGAGAACATAGCCAAGGATACAGGCTAAAACCTTCCTCCTTTCCACTCTCTTACCTTAAGTTCATTATCAGAGAAATCTCTCTCGTGCTGCATATCCTCTTATAGGAAGTTAAATGCTTTGTGCATTTTAAACAAGACTGGGGCTACTGGGACAAATCTAAAAGCTTTCTGCCCATCTCAAACAGCGTGTGAAATAAAGAAGAGCTAGATACACAGTACACTTCCCACTAATGCAACCCAGACATTGTATCTGTCATCTATGCACTGAACAGGTAAGGCCAAGGTCACAATCCACATTTGAGGCCAGTGAATGACCTAGAATAGGTCACATAACCCAAGTGGTTACAATGACTGACTTCAGCCAGTGCAAAAGAAGGCTGCCATCAAAAGGAGCCTTCCTCTCCAATCCTGCTTCAGAGCCCTAGCCCTTGTGCAGCCAGGCTACAAGATTGGTTATCTAGCCATAGCGAAAATTCATCATTGCTCTTCACATGGCTAATTCACAGTCGAACTACTAAACCAAGCCCATAAGGAATCAACAAAACAGACAGCCAGTGAAGGCTGGGGGCTGCAGGGCTGGAACATCCATTTTAGTGGTACCACAGTCAGTCTTAAGAGAAGCTTACTATGACTGGAAATGCTTAGTGAAACATCACTGAAACAATGGAGACTGTGGTTAACACCTCAATTTCTTACATACAATGGCAGTTTATAATAAATGGGAAATTTATGTAGGAAAACTTTCTTAAGTTGCAGTCTGAGTAAACTCACATGGTTACTAAAACACACAGTCATAAATCTTGCTTTGGTAGCAAGGCATGCAACCTTGCTTTCCATTTGGGAGAAAAAAACCCCACTAAGTACATTTAACACATCCCTTCCCGTGAAACAAAAGGCTGCATGCACACATCCTGAGACACGGAAAGAATGACACGTCACCAAAATTAATGGTTTAATGAAGTATTGGAAGATATTAGCTACTACAGTGATGAGGGTGGAATAAATACTACAAAAGGACAGCTACAGGCTACATAAATTCCACCACATTCCTATTAGCATAGCTACTATGAAATCTAATAGCTACTGTTTCTATTTATGAAAACAGACCTCCACGGACATTGGTAGCAAAGGAGCTGAAGGAACCTTGATGCATGTGTTTTGTTACTCTTATTTTCATGAAGTTTGTGTTTACCTGAGGCAAATACAAGTGTGGGAAATTAATTACATGAATATTAGCTAAATTGTTCCTTTGTTCCACGTCTTTTTTTTGTATAAATCATTCCTAACTAAAAGTGACAACAGTATCATTGGATTTGTGTGACTTAAGTCTCCAAATGACACGTTTTACTGCAGCTCAACTGCTTATCACAGCAGACAAAATAAAAAGGGAGGAGTAAAGCTGTTACGCATTTTTTTATTACTATTATTTTACAAAAAGAGTTTGAGCAAGACAGAAAGTCCAGATACAAACTGGAGCTACTATCTGGAATATGTTCACAGCAATAACTCCAACTGCAAATTTGCTAGTCAGAACATTTACTCATGAACTGACTAAATAAAACACTCAAACGGAAGGCCCAACCAGTGCCTGGTTTGTAAGCATTATCCCTCTCAGACAGTAGTATGCAAGTAGGATATTTAGAATGCCAGAAAACGCAAATTTTTGAGAACAAGTCTGCTGCACAAAGGTGTACCATGTGCTACTTCCACAGTGATCACAGAACTACCTCTTCCAGTGATTTCTGTCAACAAGGTTCTTGATTCTTACCAGTGAGGTTGGGCAAGGGAAAATTGCTTTGATGGGCGAGCTGCTGGTTCCACCACTGCTGGGTGGGTTGATCCTTTTCTCCTTCTGGCGCCGGTTACAGAACCAAACGCGGATCACCTCCTTCTCCATGTTTAGCTGGTCAGCTATCATGGTGATCTCATCCGAGGTAGGCTTTTGGTTCTGAGAAAAGGAAACAGTACTTGAAAAGCTGTGAAATTACCTTCTGAAGTTTTACATTACGGCTTTTGCTTCACTAGGCAGAAATCTGGATGGGCCATTTATATGCAGAATCTGTCAGTGGTACAATAGAGATAGCCCTCCATCTTCCTAGTTACAGGAACATTTCTACCAACAGTAAGCTGTGTGAGAGGGGTGATGAAGACTAAGCCCACGTGCTTCTTTTTGAGAGAAGGAATCTGACTTGTGAGTTAATCCTTCAGGGAATTCTAGACTTTGATAAGGAAATCTTTCTTTCAGCATCTCTCAAAAAGGAATAGGACAGATTAACTATAGCAATGGCCAAATGAACCCCAAGTTGTCTAGACTGAACTGGGTACTTACAGAGGCTATCTGCACATACAGCTGCACAAAGTACCTAACAAGAGTAACATAAGGCCAGCTAAAAACGTCACATTATATATGTTTAGACCGTCACCCCATTTATCCATCCTCAGAAAGGGTAATCTTTTTTTTCTTCTCTTTGATGTGCAGAACATCAAGCTTAGATCTGTGACTCAGTATCTTGGAACACAAAATCACGAAGTCAGTGAATAGCAAGAATCAATGAGGGGTTTTTGAGGGGTTTTGTTGTCGTCTTGGTTTTGTTCTGTTGTTGTTGTTTTTTGTTTTTTTTTTTAAAGGGAAGTAGATGTTGATGCGTGCTTCTTGGCACAGCCTTTGTGTTCAACTTGTTTAGTACAAGCAGTTTCCTAAATAGCACAGTAATGGCTTCACTCTAACAGATACGACTGTAAAACTAAGTTTCTTCATTTCTGTATAGGCTGAGCAGAGCAACAGGATCACTGACCTCCAGGAAACTCTTCTCTAAGGCCACACGTATGTTGGTCTCTATGCTGGTGCGTTTCTTCCTCCTACGGTTCAAGCCTTCAATCCCTTGCCCTTGAGAATTCAGGGCACTTGGGCTGGAGAGAGTTGAATCAGATGAGAGGTTTTCTGAAAAAATAAAGTAACATAAATCAGGAGATTTTATTTGAATGCAGTGCAGTCTAACGCAAATGTTCTTTACCTGTGCAAGGTATGTTAAAACTGACTCTGTATCTCAGATATATAGATTTCTGAAGATCACGTGGATTAATCATTGTACTTGTAAATTACACTTGAAATTTAAAAGTAAGCCTAGAGGGCGCTCCCTGCTCCTGTATGCTACCACAGTATCATCATACCTATATAAAGTTGGTCTCCCCTTACCTCATTCCACCCCATACTCATTCACTGCAAGTCACAGTTTAAAGAAAAAAAAAGAAAAAAAAAGCAGTAATTGATAACCATGAGCCACAGGCATATCTCACAGTCAACTATGTAAAAATCTGAGCAGCCTGAAATTTCTTTTACCCACTCTACAATACCCTAGAGGAAGTCCATAGTCAGCTTCAGTGTTCAACCTCTTCTTTGGAGATCTTAGCAGATACTCAGTGCTATGCAGTTCTACCTAACAGCCTACACAGTTATCAGCTCCTCCTCCTCAGCTTCACTAGGTCTCTAGCTGTCAACCCCATATCCTGTCTTTTGGGCTCCACAGAATAGCAAAGAGAGAACACGCTTAAACCCCGCTTTGTAGCAGAAAGTGCAAAATAACCAACAGGGAGGTTCCATCAAGGAATTTAAACAAAATGATTAATTATGGCTGGAGAGCCCTCACTGCACTGAGGTTTGTGGGTAATAAGGCGGTGTCAAAGTTCACAATGCCTAAGATCATTTGGGTTGGCTCAAATGGGCAAGTACATTCAATTCATTGTTTTCTAGATTTTTTTATTATGGTTATTTTTTCAGTAATGGCACCCATAAACGTGCTGAAATCCCTCTCCATCCTCAAAACCCCACAGAATAAGCTGAGTTCTGAAACAATAAATTCTCCAACACTCCGATGTAATGTAACAGAAGGGATCATCGGTATTCTTCCCCTGCCTGCTTTTACCTAAAAGTAGCCTTTAAAGTTATCCAAATCTTTCTTCCAAAGTTTTTTATGACACTGAATCAGAGCCAAAGACGATGGTTCCCAACTTTCAGGCTGTGAAGGACCGTGACACTGTTTATAGCCCTTAACTTAACAGATCCAAGTATTTCTTCAGGTTAGCAGGGAAAGCAAACTATGACATTCCTTGCAGCACTGGACTAATCCAGTGTTGCTGGAAGGTTTGGGGACCACTGGCCTGTGGACTAGAGCATTCAGTGTGTAGATCTCTGTTTTCTAACACAGGTCTAAATTACCTAAAGATATCCCCTGTCAGAAAAAGAGAATGATACTCCCTTGTTTCAATGAAGGACAAATTTTCAATACTGCATCCAATTACTTTCAAAATTCAGAGAATAACTGTAGGGACCAGCATAAAACTCTCTTCATTTTGGTAAAAATAGGACAGCACACACCATCCCTGCCATCTGTTTAGCACATCTATCAGTTTTATACTATGTACAATTGTATACTTGGAAGAAAAAACTGGCTGACAAGCACTCTTAAATACTTTCTATGCTAACACCTAGCTCCACCATCCAAACTTCTTTTGCTGGCGGGGGAGGGAGGTGGGGTGGAAAGCAACACTATCAACACTGGCGTCATGAATAACTTACATCCCAGGAAAAAAAAATTCTGGAAGGAAAAAGCAAAACCTAACCCACAAAAACTCTTCCTATGGGGAGAAAGAGGGTGTTTATACAGACCCTTGGAGAGAAATGAAAAGAACGTACAGAGGGGTGTGGGAGGGGATGAGTGCAATAAGCTCTGCCTACTGAAATAACAAACCATGCAACCCTCTCTCTACTATACATCTGAAAAAGAAAGCTAGAAGAGGATTAGAAGCTATATGCATTAACATACATGAAGAAGGAAAACCATGACACGTATTATACCTCACCCCATGCAATTATTCAGCTGTCTGCAAGACACAATTCTGAAAGTTCACATTGGAACAATATCGGATGTGCACAGGCACATGCAGAGGGAAGTATGGACCCTTATTCCTACACCTTTATTTTTCCCATGGATAGTTACAAAGATTGGTAGCTTCATAAAACCGTAAGGGCACAAACGAAGCAGTTCTTCAGTTTTTTTCAGAATCCTACTGATTTTGGTAGGCTGGTGAAGAAATACACAGACTCATTCACCTGCATCATTGAGCCACTTTTCCAGAAGTGGCTTTAACTTGCACATGTTCTTAAAGCTGAGGTTCAAGGCTTCAAAGCGAGAGATGGTAGTTTGGCTGAAGTCATTTCCATAGAGTTTGCCCATAGCGAGCCCAACATCACCCTGGACAAAGAAAGAGAAAAAAGGGATTCACTAACATAGGCACTTCCAAAGCAAGGAATCCTGTCACATTCTTGTGTTCTCTCAATGACTCCACTGCTGCGTGGGATTTCATTTTCACAGAAACTTGCTCAGCGCTACCAAGATTCATGCTAAAGCAAATAATCATAAAGAAATGTCAAACCTTAGTCAGCTTAACCATGTAACTCTTTCCAGGAAATCTCTGAATGCTTTTGTCATCTTAGCATTATCACTGAGCAGAACATTTCACTAAATATTAAACTTGTAATTTTTTTCATAGTTCTTTAAAATAAGTAGAGGCCAAACTCTCTTTAGGAGCAGATTTAACTATCTGTGTATTTCACATTGAAGAAGAAATGTTCAAATTAGCAGAAATGCAGTGAATTCATGTTCTCAATACTCTTGAAAAAACTCTCTTGAAGTCCCTTGAAAACACTCTGGAAAAGACGTCTGCAAACATATATCACATTTAAATAGATGCAAAAATATTCTTATCTGAATTTTTAGTATCTTCTGCGGTTCAAACCAAACTTCTCCCCACAGATACACATTTCAAAGCGGACAAGAAGTTGAACCATTTCAAATAGTGATTAACTGTAGTTTTCACTACCATTACCCATCTGCCAAAAAGCCATCCACGAGATTTACAGACAGATGATCATCTCTTTACATCTGTTATTGCCTTTCAAAACTCACTTTTTGCTAGCTATCATACATTCTGCTTATCCTGATATATATATGCACATATATACATCTATGTAGTTCACACTTGGAAAGTCTTATTAAAAAAATTTAAAAATCAATCCACTCTTGATTGATTGGTGGTCATTAAAAACACCATAATGTTTTATTGTTTTGCTTTAAAGCTGGAAGATCCTCCCCTTTGAAAAAATTATTTTTTAAGTATGCAATTTGGTCTAAAGTAGTTTAATTTAAATTTTTATTTTTTAACACAAAAAAGTACGAAAAGTCTAGAAGAAGAAATTGAAAAGCTTGAGCATAGTTAGTGGAGTTTAATTGCAAGTGGGTTAGTTGGACTGTGCGTAAAGCTTGCTTTCCTTCCTTTTAGGTCAGATCCACAACCACATCTTGATACAAGTATATTAATAGCATGCAGAGTGGCCACATCCAAGCGAGGAAGAAAGCAACCTTTGGTAAGCTTAGTAAATTGTGCAGGTTGCGTAAAGAAAACAATTTCCTTCCTAGAAGAGGACCAGAACAATTGGTTTGTAAGCCCTTCAATCAGAGGAAACATGTGGGAACTCACATTTATACCTCTACCCATATGCCAGGATTCTGTGCATTTTAAAACTCATAAATCATTCCAAGAGAAGTAAAATGGGTTTATGAAGAAGAAAACCTGGCTATGTAAACCACTTTAGAGATAAGTTGATTTATGTCTTGGCAGGAAAGAGTTATGAAATTTGCTCCAGTCCCCCAGCTAAATTTAATTCTGGTATTTATGTTGTTCTTACTAACATTTGCCATCTGATTTAAAATGAATAGTTAACCATTTCTTTTCAATAGTTTTCAATGCCAAAAGATGGCAGCATTTCAGCTGTAGGCAAAGGAATTTACATACTGGGATGAGAATTTTATATATTGGAATGGGCTACTGAAAGGATGGATGGAACAGAGGATAAAGGCACCGTATACACATCTAATCTACTCTGTAGCTCCGGTGCTGAACTGAAACTGATTATAAGGTACATCATTGTTGTGTGTACTGGTCTGTTAAGAAGCTCAGACAGACTAGCAGAGGTAATACCTTTTATAAAATAAAAATAACATTGTCTAAAATGTTCGCTCACAAAGCTTGGATCTGTACTGACCGATTAGTCACATACCTGCAATAATGCTAAGATGCAGTATGCCCATTGTGTCTCTACATGTCAAAGACAGAGACATTTTTAAGGAAAACAATTAAACAAAAGGATTTAAATCCATCACCCACTTTTCAGGGTGGCAGAAGAGACAGAACTCCTGAAATTCAAAACATGTTATATTGTTCACGAGACAGAATGCAGTAGTGATTAGTTTGCAATGCAAACTAAATCTTACAATTATTCTTGAAAGGCAGGGGTGGCGTGAGTCTGAAAAAGCTTACAGTACCACTGGAAATAAATTTCTTTTATCCACTGAAAGGCTATTTATCCAACTATAGGAAACCAAAGTAATAGGGCTCCCTAATTATCATCCATTTATGCAATTAGCTAGAAGTTATCAGAACTGCCTAATTATACAAACTCAGAGTAGGATAGGAATGATCAAATGCAATTTTATTACTTTCTCAAGATCCACTTTTTTAAGCTCAAAAGCAAATACTGAAATGTAAGCCCGAGCAGTTGTGTTCATTTTTCCTTACCATAAAAATTCACAACAGGGTCAATAAAGAAGGGTTAACCTGTAACTTAAAAAGTCTCGTTGAGCCTTTATAATCATCTCACAGCAGGGCAGATTAAGCATAGTAACTAAAGATCTACATGAACCTCCTCAGTCAGGCTATAGGGAAGCTATTGTATTTTATTCTATTCTGTTGTGCTGTATTCTAGTTTTTGTGTATGTCCATCACTTGTATTTCTGTGCCTCCCTCTAGTGGAAAGAGGGGAGGGAAGGAGGCACACACGCCAGCAAAACGCACTTCATTTTACTAAGAACATTCTGTTCTTGAGTTATAATTAAGATGCTGCCAGGAACTTTCATTATGAACCCTGATTTTTCAAACATTTAGGACTTTGCCAGAAAAATAAATCTGACTTCAGCACATACTTTCAGCTAGATAGATTTACTTAGTCCAGAGGGGGGGAACAAATCACATATGTTGGATTGACTGCTCCGAGCTCAGACTTTTAAATACCTACTTTGATTTTTGCATGCTATTTCTTCTAGCAAAAGTATGCCTATGCTTACCACAGACTCCTGCCAAAGTTAATTGTTTACCTGGACAGATATTTTAATTTTGCAGGGGAAAAAAAAATAATTTTGATATTAATAAGAAAGAACTTTTGGATCCAAGAACCATTTCCCTTCAACAGAGTAACAGAAGATATAAATGGACTTTGTACTTTTAATTGTACTCCTCATTCAACCACTTTCACTATGTTCAAGATTACTTTTCTTCTGCTCTATGGATATTTCTGATCTTTTAAGCAAACCAAAACAAACCACAACTCCAGTTCACCTCTGTAAGGAGAGAACTTCAAAGGTGACAGTCCTTTCAGGTTTTGTTTAGGAACCTCAGCAAAAGCATTAAATACAGAAATCATTGATGTTTAATAGGAAAATATACTTGAGAGATAAAACCCCTTTGACATCCAATGCAACTCCACAGTTGTGATATACTTTTTAAACACACAGAGCAGTTAATTGTGCTGTGTGATTTTTAGAACTTTGTACTTCTGAAGGCAGCTTTCAAGTCCTTTGTCCCATTCATTTGACATCCTATAGAATGAATAGTGCACATGCAATGACATCTGGAGCTGGTAAATGCACGTACCTGCTGGGAAAATGGCTATGCTTTAAAACCAACAGGGAAGTAAGATGGATGTATGGCTTTTTCTGTTATTTCTTAGAAATCCCCTACATAAAGGCCAGAGCATAACCCTATTTAAGAAGGTTCTCCTAGGAAAAGGTGGAATTGTAGTCTCCCTCCAGACTTGAAAGATGAGACCTCAGATTCCACACTGGCAGGCACTAAGGTACGCAGTCTCACCTGAGTGAATCCAAGTTTGATCCGTCTTTGTTTGAAAGTCTTGGCAAACTGCTCAAGCTCCTCAAGGTCACTGGGCTCCTCCAAGCTGGGAGTGTCGATTCGCTTTGGTGTTGACTGGCTCTGTGGAAGTGGCTGAATGGGGGTCGCTGCTATTGTGCGTGTTGGGGTTGCTGGCTGTTAAGATAGCAAGGAAAAAATGAAAATCAGGCTTAAAAGAATAATCAGCAAAAATTAAATTCAAAAAAGGTATGTGGGGTTTCTGTGAGAAAGATCCACGAATTTGACATTTCCAGCAATCTGGAAGTTCCTCCAATTTATTTACATTCCTCTCAAGAATGAGTAATCACAATCCAGAAAACTGTATTAGTATGACAGCCTTTAAAAGGCTCTGTCAGAACCAATTAAAGAAAAGTAAGAGATATTCAATACAGCAGATAACCAACAACTTTCACTAGCTATAGAAGCTGCTCAAAGAAAGGCTGAACACTCTTACTTGATATAGTTCTATCATTTATAGACAGCTTGGCATTCATCCCCTTTTAATCATTTTAAAATTGAATTTACTGCTTGTGTGAGGTGGCAGATTGTGATCAGCCCAAAAGATTCAAGCCTCCTATTTAATCTTGGAACAGTGAGCACATACAGGTGCAGCAAACATGGCACTTTTCCTATAATGCCATCTCTTGTGACTGACTCAACTCCTCCAGCAAGAAAAAACTAGATCTACCTCTAACCCTTCTGTTGATGCCTGCAACACTAAGAATTAATGTACTAGTGATATAAGAAATTACGCAAAGGCAACCTGCAGAAAATAATTTCTTTTTGGTCACATTTTTCTTCTATATGAAAGGTTAATTTTCCAGAAGTCCACATGAGGTTCACTATTCCTTAGCACTGGTATATTAGAGCATTTTGCTGAAAAACCTGAGCATCATGGAAAATATTCACAGGTGAACAAAATATACTAAGACCTGGTATTGCACAGTTCAAGCTTTATGTGCAACAGGATAATTGGAAACGTGTTTTGAGTGCATAACTCTACCTTCTTACATGCCATAGATGAACTGAGATACAGAATTTACTCTAGTTAAATTCTATTAATTTCAGCTAAGGCAGTTAAGCAAAGGTGATGTCATGCTTTTATGTTCTATGCCCAGTTCTGAAACTATAGACTCCTTCTGGGCAAATACGAACAGCCTCAAGTCTATGCAACACTACAGTACTATGCAAAATCTATGCAAAGGTCCAGAAACAGCTGCTCTAAAAGGCATGGCCTACATATAGCTGAGTCTTTACGTAGCTCCTCATGTTATTTTTCTCCTGGGTTAGTGCAGCATTTTCCAGTGCACAGCAGATGGTAGAGGGAGGTCAGGATCTATAATTCCATTACCTGAGAAATAATGTGATCATATATGATCTTTCTAGGATTGCAGATATGTCTCAAACTATAAAGATTTTTAATATATTTTTAATTTACATTAAACATAGTGGGTAATTACTGCAGTATATCTTTACTGACTTCACCCCCTTTATATAATTTATCTTCCCTTTGCAGTTTTGATACCTTTTTAAGTCCAAGTATAATCTTTAGTAGGGAGTTATGCTGCTAACTGAGGTATGAACTACAGAGGTGAGACAAATGCCATTTTCCACATGGTGCATGAAAAATACTATAGGTGGTGTAATAGAAAATATAGTTTTCTAAGACTCTGATAGTCTCAGGCATCTTACTACAGGATAAAAAATTCTTGTATGTAACCAAGTTGGCAGGAAGATACTGTATATTACATGGTATTTGAGAAACAGCATGCAGTCATGCAACTAAACTGCACAGTAAAACCCAGAGTGAAGCAGAATTAAATTTGCAGGCATGTGCAAGCTTAAAATTGCTTTTCTTACGGTCTGAAAGCTTAATCATAGAGCTTTAATATTTTAACATATATCTAACAGAATATTTTAATGCATTTCTAACACTCTATTCGCTTTCACAGAAGGTAACTAATAAGACTGGCAATGACTTAGCAATAATAGCAAAACAAGCAGGCTACAGTAAAGACAGATTACCCCCGCAATCTTCAGAAAAAAAGATACTTGTTAAGTCATCCTCTTTTCAAGCTTTTTAGGTAGCTCACACCTTGCTCCTCTGAATTTCACAATTTCGGAGACTGTCCAAGAAAGCCTTACAAGAAATCAAATGATGCTCTAGTGACATTACCTCAAGATATCAGTCAAGAAAATTTTCAGATAAAAATTTAGAATGTTAAATGCATAAAAAGATGCATTTTCGGATGGAAACTATAAAACTGAAGTTACTGATACTTCAGCTCTACACTGAATCTATCTAGAAAGACAAACTCACTATTATAGCTACAACATCTACTCCAGTAACTAATACAAAGGGTCCATTCACTTGAAACAGTTTCAATCCCCTCAAAGCAACTCATGAATTGTAGAAATAAGCCTGACCTGCGAGGCAAGGGTGATGCTTGGCTGAGACTGCAGGAGGTTGGCTTGGCTTTGCTGAGGTAGTTGCGTTAAGAGATTCTGCGCTTGCAGGAGACCTGGAGAGAGAAAAGGGTGGGTTTGGTTTGTCATTTAAAAAGACTAAAACATGACATGAGATGAAACAAGGCTCTTGACAAATAATGAAAGTTGAAAAAAAACTGAGATAAAAGCCTTCATTTCATCCCTGCATAGATAACTTCAGACTTTGGACGTTTCAGTCCAAAATTCCCTTGCATTTTCCTGAAGTATATATGGTGACAGAAAGGTAAAAGACAGAAGTCTGTACTGGTCGTCTCTGCAGAAGGAGTTTGCAAAGATCTAGTTAGCCCAGTGCTGTGTGCAGGAATCGTTTATTGCCCCTTTTAGCTTGCAGATTCAGGTGAACCTCTTCCTGTAACCAAAAGCTGACCAAGAATTAGGGAGCCATATAAAAATAAACAACTGAATGCTAATCAGATCAATTCCAACAACTGAATACTGACCAAAACCATAGATTTGGCTCCTTGATCACTCTTCTGTACTAAACCCCTGCCAGCTGCCTAACGAGAAGGCAACTTTCTCTGGCAAACTTAGGCAGACCACACCAGAAGACAAAACAAGCTCAGATAACCTCTTCCTGGAGGAAATAAAGGAATCTTTTGGACAAGGAATCAGAACTTAAAGCTTAGGTAAGATACTGAACACTGCTTAAACTGCACAAATCAAATAAACATTACACTGTACACATGAAACCCCCTGCTGTTATGAAAAGGTGACAACGTTAAGGAACAGTTGGGACTGATGCAACCAATACACACAATATGCTGTTATTCTAAACATAAATTTTGTTACTGTCTGCTAATTCTACGATTTATTATATCTTTCAGGAAATTGAGACATAGCTTCTAGTTAAAATCTATGGATGTAAGTATATCTGATTGTTTGGGGGTTTTTTGCACTTCCAATATTAAAATTTATACATTTTTAAGGGGTAAGAATCTTAATAAAAAGATACCTACAGTTAGTCAAGCCCCTCAATTTTATTGTGAAAAATATTGCTGTTACTTATTAGGTAGCTCCTGGCTACAACTACCATCTTCCCCTATAATAATTTAAGAACCTGATTAATTAAACCTACACTTAATAGGCATCTTCAGTATACCAGCTTCCTAGAATCAGGGGGGATGAAGGCATGACAACAGACAGACTCTATGCCCACTCAGAGGACAGAATACCAAGTAAGTACCACTTAAATTCTGTAATTTGAGTTCGATGAGGTCTGTTCTGGCTCATCATCTGGCCAATCAATCACAACACATCACTCGTGACCAGCTACAGAATACAGGTATGGGGCACAGGAATTTAATACTTGATAAATACTGAGTGAGAAACTGAATAGTTTATGCCAGGTTAAGGCCATAGGAGACATGAAGAGAAGGACTGCCATGGGCAGGAAGGGCAAAAATCCTCAATGAGGGATACCAACTACAGAAGAATTTGTCTTCTGACAATAATATTACTGTCACTTTTTTTTTTTTTGTGAAGTGTTGAGTATGTATTTTAAATAGAATGTGTTGCTATCAAAATGCTTAAGACCTACAGAATAAAGCCAGCTGCTTATGCAACATAATAGCACAGCATAGACAACTATGTAAATTTGCTTTGCACCACATAATCAACATGTTCCAGCTGTGTTTTTGAAAAGCCACAGCAAGGGAATGGATCAGCCTAAAGAACTTCCAAGACAGCTACCCACTACAGTTACACAGTGCATTTTACAATGCAAATATTTGTTCACTTACAAGATGATTTCAGCTGCCCAGATCTAAATATTAATTAGCGAACAGTCACCTCTAAGTGAAGAGGTTTTGACCTTCATTTAGTGACAGTGAATTTTAACTGACAACTTGAAATAGAAAGGGGCAAGACTTCACACCAACACTATAGGGAGGCTGACTAACAATGAGACAAAAAATAGGCAGCTGACAGTGACCACATTTGACCTCTAATCTACTGGTAACACCATCAATCACAAGTCACTGACTCATCTTATGACTGTAATCGGAGTAATTAGGACTGTCCTTTTGTGATTTTTTTGTCCTCAAAGAAATCCCAGGGGATATTTTTCTGGCAATAACACATTTGCAGAAGAGCACAAGATGATTTACACTCTTCCTCATTTTATTCTCACTCATACGTTCTGAAGTAATTATCACTGAAGAACAGTATAAATTATTCTGAACATGTTTAATCTAGTCCGTTTTTCCATCATGTTATCCTATTTAAAATACTGATAACAAGACTTCTAGGGCAGAACTAGAGAAAGAACAACCTGCTGCTGACTGAAGTAATGATCAGGGAATAGGGAAAAGAGTTGAACTGTTTTGGCAAAGTACAAATCTCTTCCACTTGCAGTCTTTTCAGAAAGTTGCTGTGCATACTCTTTTGACTCTTGTTGGCTTCCATGGGTTTGCAGCTGCAGTTTTGCTCTGTTCAGACATGACCTGTAGTAGTCTAAGCTTCACTTTCACTTTTTTTCCTGAGAAGAAACTACCGGTCCCCACTTCAGTCCAAGATAACTTCAGTGACTTCACTTACAGGGCACATAGTGTTAAGTCCAAAACTGCACCTTTTGGACAACTGCTGAGATGCTGGTGTTTCAAACTCTGCTGTTTCCTTAGGGACTCATACTGGCATCAATACTGTTTAATATCTTTATTATTATGGGACAGAACATTCTCAGCAAGTTTGTGGACAATACCAAATACAGAGAGAGTGTTCAACAGGCCAGAAGTCAGAGTCTAGACAGGCTGGACAAACAGGACCTCATGAAGATCAATGCAGGAAAATGAAACATCCTGCACGGGGGCTGGAATAACTCTGTGCAGCAATACAGGGTGGGCACTGGCTGGATAGAAAGCAGTTTCACAGAAAAAAGACCTGGGGGTCCTGGAGGACAATAAGATGAACATGAGCCAGCAGTGTGCCCTTACAATAGACAGCCAGCCACATCCTGGGCTGCATCCGCAAGCGTGCAGCCAGCGGGTCAAAGGCTGTGATTCTTCCCCTCCATTTGGCACTTGTCAGACCACATCTGGAGTACTGTGTTCAGCCTTGGGTTTCCCAGTACAAGACACAATGACATTGTGGATTTTGTACATTCGAGGCCCACCAGGGTGGCTAACAGGCTGGAACACCCATAGGAGGAATGGGAAGTGAGCTGATTTGTTCAGCATTGTAAGAAGACTGAGGTGAGATGCTATTGCTGAATTCAAAGCAGAAATGATGTCTTCTTAAGAATGCACAGTAATGAGATGCAACAGACATAAGTTGGAACATGGAAAACTTCAAGTAGATATAAGGGAACTTTTTTTTTTTCCTCTTTTTTTTTTTTAACCATGATAGTGGTCAACTATCAGGACAGGTACTCAGAGAGGTTGCAGAATCTGCATCCTTGGAGATGTTCAACTGGCTGAGGTGCTGAGCACTCTGCTATAATTGGACCTATATTGCCCCTAGAGGTCCCTTCCAACCTATATGATTTTTTTAACCTAGAAAAACTAATATTGTACCTGCATACCTAACTTCACAGAGGTTGTATCTGTAACCCTCTGCTTTGGGTTCTAAGAGCCCAGTGGTATTATTGTGTTAAATAAGGCATACAAATCACCTACATGACGCTCCAGAAATATGACTGCATGGATGTAGATAAGGATTTATGCAAACATATGATGCTTTAGAGGTATTTAATTTTTTTTTTTCAAAAAGTAAATGCATCTACCATCATCGAGGACTTTTCCTGTAATGTCTATGAGCAGCATGAATAATGGCCCAAGCCAAAAAACTTCCTGCCAGCCAGAAGTCACCAAGGACTGATTCATGGTTCAGTTCTTACTGTCTAAAATTAATCACAAGATAAAACAAACATTCAAGTGCAGATTTTATTTTTTTCAGCGTAATTTTTAAAAAATTGGCTCAGAAGCATAACATATAATTCATCCCTAAATGATCTCCCAAAAGAGGGAATTTTTTTCATCTAAGAACTTGTCTGCTTTTTCTCTGCCAAAGCTGTTCATCTTCTCACAGACATATCCTGGAAGTTAGCTTGCAAGACAAAGCCATTACAAATCAAGTTATGAAACTTGATTAACAGGAAACAACTGAAAGGAAGAAAGAAGGGTGTCATAGCACATACTACATACAGTGCCCTTTGATCAACTTTGTTGATCACTGTTGATGCAAAGAAACTTCTGGGCACTTCGGTGCACTTAATTTTATGAAATCCAGATCTTCCAAAATGAGGACTCAAAGTTGGAATTATACTGGAATCCAACACAAGAAAGTACTAAGGTATGCATTTGTACTAATCTTTTCCACTGAGATTTTAAGCTGCTGCACCTTTTGCAATATCCAGGTACCCTTTAAGATCAGTTCAAGACCATGATGCAAACGTGCTGAAGTTGGTGAACTGCAGTTTTGAACAGTAACAATTCAGCAATCCATACAAAGGTGCTGCTACACTACTTCAATGAAAGTCAACATTTTTAACCATTGATGCTGTTTGGATGGTAAGAAGCAAAGACTTGATTTCAAAGAGGACAGTACATTAAGCATTTAATTCATATCTTGGTAATGGGTATTTGCAGCACGGGGGAAAAAAAGTCACCATTTAAATCACTTGGCTTCCAAGTTTTTCCTCATCCCACTTCAAGCTCTGCCCTCTTTTGGGGGAATGAGTTTGAGTCAGCTACATTTTATTCAACTGCTGTGTCAGCAAATACGCTGTCATTAAGAGTTTGACAATGAAGAGCTGGGTCTCCTCATCTGCATATTCTAGGGACTACAGCACTTTCACCTAGTTCACATGGCGTATTAATAACGAAATGAGGAGGAGTCCTATAAGTGGTGCAGGTGTACAATCTCAGGTGAGAAGAACACTTGTCTATTACAAATTTGATGCATCTGAGAAGAAACACAGACAACTTCAGGGATCTCCCTCCATCCTCACACTGGGTGAGGGAGCTGCACTCTGCTTCATGGCTAGCAGGGTGGGTACCAAGGTTTAACACTTATTATCCCCTTTTTAAAATGTGCAGTGTTTTGTTTTGGGTTGTAGTTTGGGGTTTTTTTTAATGATACAAGGGAAGACTCGAAGTCTGTTAGGACAAGCGCGCAAGAAGAAAACAGGACTGGATTTGGCCTGCTATCATCCTCTCAGGTGTTTTTACAATTAAAAATGAAATCATAAATAAGGTCTTTAATAATAAACAGCAACAACTTGAGAATAGGTAGGCCCAGTTTCATTGTTTAAAGCTAATTAGTAAGCTTGTCTTCCACATTTGCCTTTCTGGATACTTTCTCTATAAGTACTATTTCTAAATCTTCTTGACAATGATGCAGTCTTTTCTCAGATCTTAACCACCTCTGTTTGCAAGATTAATTTAAATAAAATGCAGCACCATTTCCCCTCTCCATTCGCACCATTTCCCCTCTCCATTCAGATTTTTACTGATATGATTTTTATTGGCAATATCTTCTAAGTAGAAAGACAAATGGTCTTCTGATGAGGGTAATATTTTTAAGAAGCAGCTATAATTGCAGTAAAGGATATTGAATTGGTTGTTCTAGAGACAGATCTATTAGATACAAGAACAGATAAAAGAGGTATAAAGACTGCACAAGGTGCTACATTCCTGCCTGTAACTTTAACAATAATATGGGGATAATAATTGCTCCAAATAAGAAATTTTTCCAATTTTCTATTTCCATTCAGACTTCTGCATATCTGCTGAGGCCTGAAACAATTCCTCGAGTCCTGATGTTACCTATTACAAGGAACTTTACAATTTGTTTCATGCAAGCCACTGAATAATCAGAAATCATGTGGAAAAGGAAGATGACTACATAAAGCATATGGCAGTGGATTTACAGGGATAATTTCACATCCACTACTGTGATCTACAATGTGTGTTGAAGAAAGATAGCAGAATAACATTGTGATTGTTAATTAATATTTTAGGTATCAAATTTTCTAAAATTTTTCAAAGGTGGATCTACGCCATGACTTTCAACCCCTTCCAGGAATCTAAATATGATTGCATTACTCTGCATCCCATCACCTCTTCAAGTAAAAGAAGCTTTTATCTACCAAATGTTTACATGTCTTCCACAATCTTGCTTAGAAATACTATTTTTCACTGATTTCTGTCAAAACTGTTCTCTTGTATTAAAAACAAATATTTCTTATTTATATGACTACATGACATCTACAAAATATGTAGTGTAGTCTGTAAAGCAATAGATTTCTTCCAGAATAAGTAATCTATAAACAAATTGAATTTTCATTTTAGTTATTGAATGCATACATATATATAAAGTTGCGTGCAGTACCAATGAGGCCTCCACAAAAATCCAAATGCCGTTGGTTTTAAAGAAAGCTCTATGCTAGTTTTTTCAGAATATTTATTATTTTATGAAGTTGACTAATGGAGCAATAGGACAAGAATAACATGGAAAAGTCAGCTGCAACAGCAAATAACAAAATAAAAATATACACTTTCTCAATCTTTCTCATAAATAATAACATACTGTTTGAGATCTTCTAACAATAACCATGAAATATTGCAAAAAGCCATCTCAAAAAGTGAGATAAGGGGTATTATGACATACATGTTGCTTTATCATTGAGTGCTCATGAAGAAAATGAAATCTATTTAAGCATTTCAGTTGGAAGGTTGTCACACACTAATGGCCTACGGTCAGAACACAGAATATAAATCTTCCTACATTTTTGAGCTATTCAGTTGTCCAGGCTGTACATTACTGGTAAAACACGGTGTTTCTATACACACTGCGTCACTGATGACAGCAATATGCAGGTCTTAAATTGCAATGAAGAAATAATTTTCAGAGATGGTCCCTGGAAAAGGTACTGTGAAAACCGCTTCTGGTAGTTATTCTACTTCAGATTTTAAACAAACAGACACACTTCCTTCCTTTCTATAATGCAAACAATCCATTTTGAGAGAGGAATATAATTTGCTTCTGTTAGTTTCCTTTCTTGTGAAGCATCTTCAGAGATATTATAGAAAACCAGCAGAAGTTAGTTGAAAAATGTAGGCGGACATTAATGCTAGGGAGTTTTTCAAAACAATGCTTTTATGCTTGCTGTTTCCTTAAAATAATTTATTTTTTAAAAAGCCTATTTTAAAGAATCCTTGAAATAAATTTTAGTGACATTTGATTTCTTTTGGAAGAATATGTTAAGCTTTTAAGTTCAGCTTAATTTTAAGAAACTAGTGCATCACTAAATGCTTCCATGAATAGTCTTTTAGTCATTTTCTACCAGTGCTGGTATAAAAGCTCTCCTAAATCAAGTCCCATTAAAAGAAAGTTAATTTTGACTAACCCTTTATTCAAACATGAGAGCATTCAGACAGTGAAGAGAGCTTCAGCATAATGGAAAGCCAGTTCTAGCCAAGTCACAGTATATAAGAAGGAATGATGCATGAAAAAATTGAAAGGACCAGGGGAAAATAAGGTGCAAAGAGCTGCTTTATAGGACAGCCAGGCTCTGGAGGCCTCTTCAAGCATAACAGGATTTGCCTTCTGAGCAAGAATCTTTGGATTACCAGACCTGAACAACTGTGTAGAGTTCATGTAGAAGAGAAAGAGGGAAAAAGACCATTGGAGTATAACAGGATAAGAGGCCATGGGTAAATGCAGTTTTCTGTGCCCATCAATAAATGGGGTGCAATCAGTACTGTGATGTATTTCAACTTGAATGCATTAGTTCCTGTACAGTGTCATCACTGGTCTGACACACTACCACCTACCACTTGGTTTGCCTTTAGCATGTAAGCCATACCCAGCGTATCACTAAATTACTGCTTCCAAGAGCTGGTATACAAAATCAAGCTTTCTAGCTCTCTTCCCAAGGTGTAACCATTATTTCTGTTTATGACAAAATTCACTGTACTCTGTAGGCTTACGGACTGTTCCGGTCTGCCACAAGGACTCTTGATTTTGTAATCTTTTTCCAGACTTAGAATTTTGTAGCCCTTTTATCATTAACCTAATCCAAACAGCCCACAACACCCTCCAGGCCTCCTCCTAGGATTCTGCTTTCGAGTTCTGGTGAGTTGTTTTCTCCAAGTTCTGTTCCCAGCAGGCTTCCTTCCTGAGAGCCTGACCCAGAAATTCAGATGCTGCAGTATGTCCCAAGAGGCCTTGTTGTTAACAAATGTGCCTGTGACATGATCTCTGGATTGATCCTCCTTGAGAAGTGAGCTACACACCCTTTGACAAGGCTTAGGTCTAACACCCAGAAAGGGACAACCTGTTAAGAGTCTCCTAATTGCAATACAGTTATTTCTCCTAGGGAATATCAACAGTTAGTAAAGGTGAACGAACCACCTCAGTTTCACCTTCTCTAAAATGCTATGTATGATTTTTCTTTTCTGGCAAGGAGCACTTACCCTGCTGCCCCTGCGGTGTTTGTGAGATGATGAACTGTGCTGGCTGCAAGTTGGTTGTTGGATGCACCAACACAAACTGTTGCAGGTTGAGATTCTGCTGCTGAAGCTGCTGCAAGTGCTGCAAATCCTTAATGAAACAGGAAAAGGAAAAAAAAAAAAAAAAGAAAGAAAAAAAAAGAAAAAAAAAGAAAAAAAGAAAAAAAAGAAAACAAAGAACAAAGAAAAAAAAAAACAAAGAAGAAAAAACAAAGAAAAAAAAAGAAAAAAAGATAAAGGAAAAGAAAGAGCTGTGTGTTAGACATTTAAGTCAGCCATGACTCCCAATGTAACTAGATTTCCTATCAACCAGTTACATTCTGACATTTAGAGATAAAACTGGATATCAAACAATAGCAGTCCTGCTACTGAATATCCTTTAGGCTGGCAACTTGTATTCCACTGTCCTTCATAAAATCAAACAAAAATTGTTTACCAAATAACCCAGTCAAATATTTCCAGCACAGTTCGGCTTTTTTAAAAAAATAAAATAAAAATCAATCTCCCTCCCCCAAAAAGCACAAGTTTTCAAATACTTTAGACTTATCAGCACCTGGATTTCTCAGACTTATTTTTTGAGGATGCAACTCTGCTACAAAATTCATTTTTGAAAAATCAAGCATATTAGCTGGGAGCTATTTTTTTATAACAACAACAATCTGCAATTACCATTCTAATCAGGAATAGGAAAGCAAAAATTTACAGATTCCTAGTTCACACTTTGGTTGTTCAGGTCAAATTTCAGGAAGTAGCTAACTCAAATAGTAAATAAATTTATTTCATTAGTTTTCAAACAAATTACAGTAAGCTTAATAAACATGGCTATAATTAAGGTTAAAAGGAATAACCCAAAACACTGCACTATTGTAGAACCCTATTTTTATGTATTTAAACCATTCATAACTATTAATTTTCTATAATTAAATGACTGGTCTCAACGTAAATACTAATCTCTGAGAGAAACTGAATCCTCAAGAAAAATGCTTCAAGTTGCTGTTTAGCTGGAGAATGAAAACACAGAAAACCGCTTAAAAATATTCCCCCAAAACTAGCCTTTTTCTTTTAATCTTCTCCAAACATGACAATAACAAGAGTAACTGAAATTTCAGAATTGAAGCACAATGTGAAGCCAGCCAAGATAACAGAGGTAATCTACGAAAACTGTCTATACATATATGTAGAAACTTTCCCTCTTTCTAAGAAGCTGTTTCAAAATACCTACCAAGGAGATGGACAAAAGCCTAAAATATTTCCCACACTTAGCAACCTCCCATTAAACAAACCAAACACCTCCCCAAACTCTATTTCAGGGAAGTTACTCAGATACCGGGGTACCTGTTTGCAGACAGATTTTGGGTCCAGCTGTGTCAAAAGATTAACAATGCCGGTTTGCTTCTAAACAGTGCTCAATCTGGCTGCCTGAATGGAGCTGCTCACTTCAACTCATGTGCTAACGTTGAGTTAAAGTGAGCCAAACTAACAGAGACCTGCTTCTTAAGGACAGTGAAGTAGCCCCCGCACATTTTGGCTGATGCAGGTTACTGTACACTCACACCAGCTGCTCAGCAGTGGACATGAACGGCCATTAACTGCCAGCAACGGAGATGGTGATGGGAAGTCAAGACAGATTGACTCAAATAACTTTCTATAAACACAATACAACCATTTGCAGACTATAGTTATCTGTCTATAACCTTACATTATTTTAAGACTTAAATAGTTGGAACAATCTTCTTCCGGGGAAGAGGGGTGGGGAGTGTCAGTGGGTGGAAAGGAGGACTAGGGAGCAAAAAACCAGAGTCTCCATTGATTTATGAGACCATAGACATGCATTATAAGAAAATGATTACTTAACCTGCATTACAAAGACACCGGCCATCAATCACTTAAGCAACTTGGTCATGTTAAGTCAAAAGCATGCAGTGGAATAACATGGTGGACAGACACCAGACGCCATGCTCTTTCAGAAATGGAAACTTCCATTTTATAAGAGAATGGTAAAATTTTTAAAAGTGCCCGCCAGCACAACAAGTGTTTTTAAAGTTGATAGTATTGTCTGCTTTCAGAAAATTTGAGACCTACTGCAACCATTCCTATGAAATTGAGGTCAATTTCCTTCCTAAAAAAAGAGAGATATAACTGCTCCAGTTTTCCCCAGGAACTCCATGTTTCTTGTGACTTCGTATCTTAAATTTGCATTGGTCAGAACTGCTACTAAAAACTCTCATTTCTTGAGCCCAATGCGATACGGACCTCCACTCATTTATTCATTGATTTTCAGTGGTTACCTTTGCAGACTGAGCAGGCCCTCTAGCATAGAGGGGCTCATACTGCATCGGATGTGAGGACTAGATGCAGAGGAGGAAACAGAAATAGAACGAATAGGGCAAGCTGACATGCTGTAAATGCTGGGTGGAAGAAGAAGAAATGTTGAGAAGCTGAAGGATGAAAAACGAGGTGGATAAGACAAAGAGTAGAAACTAAAGGAAGAGCTGGGAAGAAATTTTCAAAGGAAAAAGTATGGGCAGAAAAACAGATAAGTTGAGGACCTCCCCCATCAAAAGCAAGCAAGTAAAAGCCCCCAAGATGACCAAGTAGATCTCAGATGATTTGAAGAAGCATCACCAGAGACAGTTACATACAAGAAAGAATACAAAGAAACAGTGGATCTTGCAAAGAAGCAAGATCAAAGCAGGAGAGCTTTTCGTTTAAGACTATAGTCTTCATAACACAGGGTACCCAGCTAAGACATGACAGCTCTTATCATCAGGCTCTCATACTTTAATATGAGAAAACTGTTTTTAAATTGAGGCCTCAGGGATAACTGGTATAAGCAATCTTATTCTATGCATCCGCCTTGGTAAATGGTATCTCAGCTGAGTCTTGTTTAAATACAGAAATATAATTCTGTGCTGCAGAATGGAAACGATACCTCCAAGGCTAATCACTCTTAAATAGCCCTACCAGCCCCTCATATTCATTTGAAATCCAACTTTATTTCTATCTTGGGAAAGTTTTATTATTTAGTTAATTGTAGAATTACAATAAATCTCCCAATAGCAATCATGCGAACAACCCTGACACTGTTTTCCTATACTGACTTTTTTTTTTTTCCCTCAGTGGTAAAATCTGTATAGCACAAGCACATAGATGGAAGGACTTTTGTGGAAACATGCATGTTTTCTGATGCTGCCTAACAATTTAGAAAGATCAAAACAATCCAACTCTTATCTCAGCAAAATAATTGGCCAAGTGCTACATCCTGACACGAGGAAGTTTTTTTCATTTTTAGCAAAAGGCATCTAAAGTTCTAAATTTGATGCCATGATCTCTAGTTACAATTTCAGTACAAACTTAAGCATCTCTGTCATTTTGAGGTTTATATCATATGAACACTGATCATGGATCTTGAAAACAAGTAGAGTTTACAAAGAACTCCAAAACAGTTTAGTGACAATTTAGCATCAGCCCATCTTACCAGACTGCTGCAGCAGATACTTTACTTTAACTGCAGTACACATGAAAGAAATCATGCTTGTGCAATTAGTTAATTAAAATAAATATGGTAATCCCCCTGCTGCAGATACCTGCCAGTTAATCAATTATTCAAAAATCATCAATTAAAACAAACATTCAGTTATTTGTGTAATCAGCTATATGTTTACAATAGCAACGCAAACAAAACTGAGCACTGTTTATAAATCAACGAGATGGATCAAAAAAAGCATAGTGTTATCCACCTACAAAGCTAGATGGTAGAAATTTTCTATAAAGTATCTCGAATTATATCCAATACCTGCCCTCAACTTTCATCATAAGAAGCTGCTACGAAAAGGTAACCAAGCTACATTAATATATCACAATAACCTGTCCTAAAAGAAATTAATTGTAACATGAAACTTTTAAGTAATTAGGAGTGCCAGAAAACAACTGAAACTTTAACTTGTTCCCCTTGTGCTACAAGTACACATTATATGGTGGCAACTATATGACCACATGACCACAATACTTTAACTCTTTCACGTGCACAAACCAGACAATGCTCACTTCAGAAGTTCCTATTTGACAGCACGGTGTCTGGTCTTTTCAACTTTTCTCAAACACTTCTCTGAAGATTTAGTAAATTCTGGAGAAAAACCCAGTACTAAATTAATAACTGCAAATACTTCACAGATTTTCATAGCTTCCTACTGAAGTGGAAGAGCAGAATTAGCAGCATCTCACACACACGCTACAATGCCTTCAAAAGTATCCACTAATTTGGCGGTATATTTGACAAATGTAAAGCCAGAAAGTTCAAGATACAGATTTTATTACTATGAAATTTCAACACTCCACACTTCAGTAAAAAGCAGATCTCACTATCTTTAGCTGCACATCTGGATGACAAGAGGCACACACCTGTGGATCACTTACATTTAGGTTAAAAGACACGCATAATAACATATGGCAACTCTGTGACAGATGCATGGAGAGATGTTAGAAGCTAACCATCCACTTCCCTGACAAGGACACTTCCCATTCTTCTCTTGAAATCTGCCTGTATTATTGGCTACAGCCAATGGCTTAACAAAATTAAGATATGGTCTTGAGGGTTATGAGTTTCCTTGAATGCTACATCCTTGAGTCACCTCCAAATCACGCCAGTGAAGTGGGATCCTTTGCTAAAAGAAGTATTAATATCTGGTTACATGACTTGTCACAGTGCATCACAATGCTCAATGTGAGCGGTCTGTGGACAACATCAGTACTGGCCTTTTAAATGTGGGGTGGCACCTGGCCTCTGTAGGGACAGCCAGAGAGGTCAGAACTTTTAGACCAACACCACAGAAGTTTGCCACTTCAGCTAATAAAAAACTGATAGCACAACCAGGCTGTTACTCAGCTAGTAGACTAGACTAGCACAATAGAGGAATAACACACTTCACCAATGGACTTCACATAATCACAACATTTCTATTCTTTTACTTCCTCTGCCCTCATCTTCACTTTTTACACACTTCATCCCAGTTGAATGCAAGTGAAAACAGTCCAAATAGAAAGCGTCAAACAGTCTTAAAGAACCCACTCAATGTAAGAAGCAGCAGCTCTGGAGATTGCACATCCAACACACTTTGCACAGCTAAACTAATCAAACAGAAATATTACATACTAAGAACCTTAATCTATGGAAAGATGGACCTCAGCACCAGCAACACAATCACCTACTAGCAGTACTCAAGATGCCTCTGCTGTACATTCAGTTACCCTTGTTCAGAAGCCTAAGGAGTTTCCACACTACATATGGTAAGCGGAGTCAGTGGTACTGCATTCTCCACACTGAACTAAGCCAATCCTGGAAGACCCAGAAGGATCTTTGCTGCTCTTGGTAAGCAGAACTTCCTTGGCAAGCAGTCCTTCAACATTAAGAATTAACAGGTCTTTAGCAGCAGCCCAGATTCCGACACCAGACACATTCTGGCAAGTTTTTCTCTAGACAGACAGAAGTGCCCACTCTTTGTCACCGAACTCTAAGCATTAAGCACCAAGCCAAAACAGCACACAAGCATGTCAAGTCAAACTGCCTTTCTTCAGGTCTATCATTTTGCTGCCTGGATCTAAGAACCACTCTTTGTAATACATAGGTATCCCTTCCCATCCGTGCAGGTCTCAACAAGTGTCATTTCTATGGGCATCTTTCTATACCTCTTTTTCTCCTTTCTCAAGCTAACTACAAGGAGGAAAATTCAGAAAATACGGCTTCTGGTCAGATTCTGGAACAAACTCAGAAGCCCAGCGATACTGATGAGCAGCTGGTACCTGTTCTTTGCTAAAGCTATCAACTTCAACCTCATCAGCTAAGGACGCATGAGGAAAGACTAACAGTATTCAAGGACTCTAGGAACTCACTGAATAAGGAATAAAAATATTATTTGAATGATGCAATTAGTCAAAACTCTTTATTTTCCACCCTCTCAAGCCTCAAGGCTCACCTGTGCAATCTGTATTGGCTGAGATAGAGGGATCTGCGTCATCGGCGTTGCAGCAGAGGCCGAGATGGTGGCACCAGCAGCGCTGTGCTGCTGACTGGCTGAATGCTGCACTGCAGCTGCCAGCAACTGTGCCTGCGCCTGTTGTAGCAATAACTGTTGCTGGGCTGGCGTCAACGTGAGCTATAAATAATTAGAAAACACAGCCATTAATAATGGAAAGAGCCACTTCAGCTACAAAGTCATTAGCTAGCTCATTACTAGTTGTATTAACCAAACATTCCTAGAACTATCACTACAGTTCAGCCATTAACTAGCCCGTGACTCTGGCCGTAAGTAAGGACAGCTGGCTACTCAACACAGCGTAGGAACCAACCTACCACAGACCTGACATAAACCAAACCGCACAAACGCAACATTGGCACTTACTGGAACCTACAGAACCTAACTCTCCTCCTAAGTTTTCTTCACAACTCTACCAGGAGGTTGAGGAAAAAGGTAATTAAGCAGCAAGCAAAAGAAAAGAATCAGTATTGCCAGGATTTGAAAGGAAATTTACACCCAGCAGAACAGCAAGCGATTAGCCAGATGAATGAGAAGCAGGAATGCTGGCTATGGCTACTGAACAAACTGATAACACCCCAGCTGCTTCACATTAGCATGAATCCCTGCCATATTCCATCATTTCCATTATGCCCTAAGATATAAGTAAAGAACATGAGCTCCGTTTGTTTCTCTCCAAGTCTCCCCATCTGCCTTTTTTTTTTTTTAAATAGAATAGAGTTGGCAAGTTTACATCCCTTCCCTTTCCCAAACACACATTATCTCTGTGAAACAGGTGGCAGCAGTCTCTCCTTTACATGTAAATGAATCTTGATGCCCATATTTACTACAATCCATATCTGCATAGGCTTGGAGTTCTGAATGTTTCACGACTGCAGACAATCATAAATTAAAACAAACTAATGTTTTTTGAGAATGAGGAAAATAATAAAATACGCTGGGTTTTAACAACGTATTAAAGCAGTCTCACTTCTAAAATGTTCACATGTAATGAACCAAAACCTAAATAGGATGTTTATTTACACACTAGTACACGAGAAGCTTTAACTGAACATGAAATTAAGACATCATTTCATTCAAGTGAATGATCTAACCTAATACTTCAAATCATAAATATATTGTTGGAGCAACTGCCCTAAATTCCTTATTAACATGCATACTCTTAAAGCTGCAAAGCTGATTATGTGGAAGCAAACTCTTTAACCAAAGCAGCCCATTCACAAAACTCGCTTTTTTTAAAAAATGACTGAAAGCATTTACAGCAATTCAGAAACACCAGTAATCCTAAAACAACAGCTATTCCATAATTACTCCCAAAGCCTTGCAATTAAAATTGGTGGGTCAAAACAGAAGGCTGAATAGGCTTAAGGCAAGCACTAATATAGTTACTTAAAAATAAATGTTTCAGTGTTTGAGAAGAGGAAGAATTAGTGTCAGCAGTTCCCATCATTTTTGTTCTTCACCTAGCTATAAGATTTAGTCTCATGTTCCCATGCCACATTTTAATATTGCAAAAAAATAAAAATTCCTCTTTATGATATTAGTGACTTTTTTATTAATACACACACCAGGTTTTAACTTCATTGCAGAGTCAAGACAGATACTGAGAACAGAGAGAAAGGTGTTTGGTTTTTTTTGAAGCAAATACTTTGCAACAAAAAATAAAGATTAAGGTCTGCTTTCTTATAGGAAAGTATTTTCTGTTCCTTCTTTCACTCAAGTTTCTTCCTATGTTAAAGGAAATGACAATAACCTTCACTGACAGTTCTGTGGGGACTGCCGTAGATGCTGCCATCATCTGCCGGACAGGAGGCTTACTGCAGGGTACTTGGGTAAATCTTACCCCAGTGATCTGTCCTCCGGCCAGCATGAGCTGGGTCTGGGGTATGGCCGCCTGCACTGAAGGCTGCTGGGAAGGCTGGCTTGGCTGCTGAGAGTCCCCAGATTCTTCATTAGATTTAGACTAGTCAAAAAAAAAACAACCAACTCTTTATAGTGTAAAACAGATGTTAATATATAACACTGCTATCTCAACACTGCACAATAAAAATCTTTCATCTGCATACAAAAAGCCCTTGGGTTTATTTTAAGAGTGTGTTTAAGCAATGGCTCTGTGTACCCACCATCTCGGCTACGATTGCTCAAACATGTTTGTAGGTAATACAGTTTAAACAAAACAAAAAGATTCTCAGGTCTTTTGTAAGTCTTTGACATTATTTTCAGGTCTCATTTCATTTTCTGCAATGCAACTGAAGCTGACACTACCTTTCCCCATAAAGAAAGAAAAGGTTGTTAAAATTATTCATTGCCTAAAATGCTGAACAATGGAATGAGAGAAAGAAGATTGTGTTTCCATTTTCTGTATCTGCATCCTGCACTTCTAAGTCATCATCCTGTTGGCTTATATGGAACTAGTTTGAGAAATTTTCACAGGTTTACCTACCTACAGCAAAATACATAATATACACACTGCTTTTAAATAACCAAAGTTTAGCATTTATTTAGTTGAATGCTGCTTTATTTTAAAAGATTTGGGGTTTGGGTTTTTCTTTTTGTGGTTTTGGGCTTTTTAAACAGAAGAAATTGTGAAGACACGAGGGAGGAAATGCAAGTGCATGAAGAGGGGGAGAGAGTTTTATGATAATTAAAACTGGTTATGCAGAACATTAAAATTCTGCATAGATTTGCATATTTTCCACCACCTGTTTTGGGGACTGCAGAGCAGGCTAATTAACATAAAGGCTCTGATTAATTCTGCCAGTCATTGAGCGATAATTACAGCGCAGGACTGTAAACATTCTGCACTGGAGATACAGCCTGTTTGCCAACATCTCTCTCAGGGATGGAAGTTTACCATGGCAACCAAGGCAATTTTCTGCCTCCTTCCTCTTAGAAAGGAAGGTCACTATACCTCTTCTTCTTTCCAAATTGTTATTATGTATAAGTGGGTCCACATTCTATTGCATTTCATGTAATGCACTACCTACATTCTTTAATAACAAGCAATACTGAAACCAGTTTTCAATAAAACTGCATCCCTTGCCCCTTAATATAGTACTGAGAGGAAGTGGCACGTTAACGGATACACTGAAGTGTTCAGCATCATAAAAAAGTTTGAAAGCTTTGTTGTCTCACGTACATTATTAAATAACAATTACTCTGACTTCTACTTGAAATCACTACGTGTTACTTACACAAGCAATCTACACTAGCCACATTAAATAGTTAATGTTACATTACAGTCCTACATGTAGCTACCAGAAGTAAGGACAAACTGCAAAGGACTACTTGCTATGTTTAAAATAAGTAAATAAAGAGAAGAACATGAATATTCCTAGAGTTTTATAGTTGTCATGATGTAACACCTGATTGAAATTCAGTATAAAATTATGATCACTGCATGTTTTAAACAACTCCAGTTTCTGAACGCTTTCAATTCTAAACCTGAATTACAGTTGTAAACCTATTCTACCTTCATACCTATCACTTGCAGGACCAGTCAGAATGAAAAAACGGAATAACGTAAGTTAAAAACTATCTCTAATGGGACTATAATGCTATTTGGAATGAGAGAAGGACGAGCAGCAGTACGAAACTGTCTTTACCTGTACATTTAAGGACTGAGCAGCAGCCTGTAAACTTGTTCCAGCGAGCTGGACCTACAATATAGTGCAAAAATAGAAATGAAATAATGTAGAACCCACAGAAAACTTTAACAATGTAAACAAAGAACAACCTCCCCGCTTGCACCCCAACAAAAACTGCTCCAAGAACAATGCATGTCCCTCTAACACCTGAATCACTGAGATAGGGGTTGTGCTCTAGGCTGAAAAAAAAAAAACAAACCCTGTAAGACTCTCCTACCATGTTATTTGTCTACCTCTTGCTGAAAGTATTGCTATCTTGCTGAAAGACCCTGCCTAGGGATCTAGATGTTATCATGAAATTGAGTTGAAACAGAGCATTTTGGGGTGGACAGGCTAACTATTCCTATTCCTGTTAAAAAAATCCAGGCTTCAGGGGAGGACGTTAAGGTATGCTCATCATCATTCTTCTAATATTTCAGAATGGATCTACCCCAAATATGTACACTGCATTACCCTGCTTCCTTATACAATAGAGGAGCAATCACCTGCACAGCACTAAACCCACAGCATAAACACTCTTCCTCAAATCAACCCGTTCAAGTATTTGCAGCCACTGAAAAGGAGATCTCAATACAGAAGACTAGAGACACTTTACAATAGCTGTATTGATTCAGGTATACTCAAAACTTGAATTCAATGTGTGTGTGATTAACAGGTCCAAAGAAGTTCTTGTGGGTCAGCCGTGAAGAAAAACTGATGCTTCAGAAAGTGAAATTTTTAAAGACTTTTATTTTATCTCTAATAAGGATCTTCTCTGTACAACAAATGCTGATTTTCATTTACTGAAGACTGCTTTAATCAGTCTAGCCTTGTTTCTACAACCACTCCTGCGATAAAGAAGGAATGCTATGTAATTAATTACCAACACTTTTAAAGGTCAGAGTTACAGCCTGTATTTAATTCCATCTCTGGCCATGTTTGAAAACCACTGCTCATTTGAAAACCAGGCAACACAGAATGATACAATAAAGCAAAGCAAAATGCAGCACTCTTGCCTCTATAAAAAGGTGTCCCTACATAATTTTTATAAAAGAGAGTCCACATATCGGCAAGCACAGGAAGCAGAGTTTTGATTTAAATTGCAGTACATGAAACTAATAACTGAATATTCAAACAGGCAACCTTAGGAGTCACCTTGGAAATATTTCCTACCACTCTAGACGAAGGTACCAGACTTACTAAGCATGTTCTACATCCAAGCAAACACTTTTAGAAAAGTTCCTCCTCGCCACAAGCAAAATATAGTTGACACAGTTGATGTAACCTGAGTTTTTAACGTGAATTAACAGCAGAGAATAATCTAAATAATAAAAGCCTGCTAATCAAAAAATATACTCAGAAATAATACTCTAAAATTACATAATAATACAAAAACCACATAGAAGACTACAAATATATCTCACTCAAGTACAGCCAGCGTACTCCTGAAAATCTCTTTGAATACAATTTGGACATCCCTTCCACCACACAACAAACATTTTTAAATTAGAAATTAAACTATTTCTGAATGTTGTCTACAAGCTAATATTTTGCATTAGTCTGGAGGAAAGCACTGTGTGTTAAGGTGAATAATACCCCACTAACAGCAGCCACACTAGAAGAGGACTGTTTGACAATAGATTCCCACACACCTGCAGGTACATAAAAGAATAGCTGAGATTTTCCTTTGAAGTAGAGTCTCAAGAAATGAATCACACTTTATCAAACATGAAGTTATAAAGATCCTGACAACTGCTTAAATAAATACATTACCAAAGCAAGATAAAGCACTGTGCTAAATACAGTTACTGTCCTGGATCAATCTATATAACAAAACGAAGACTAAAACAAACACACAAAATTCCACTGAACAGCTGTATCTGTCTTGGTGTTAAACACATACTGACAACCCATGAAAACTAGTCAGCTTCTCTCCACATAAAGGCAGTCTACGACAGTCCATTGGTTCAGCAAATTCAAACACTGGCACTCCCTAGGTCCTATATAACCCAATCTACTAGGAAAATTTTAATTATGTGGCAAGATGTGTGGAATGTTCCATACAATAAAATGGCAGTTCAGAGCTCTTAAAAGAGGGCATAAAAGCTTCAGTATGTCAATTATATCACAATAACTGTGCAACCTCAGACCTCAAACACTCGAGGTCAGCCAATTAGGTACAGTATTTTAAAGTTTAAACTTGGTGCTGAGGAAGGGAAAGAAATTAGGACATTTGTTTTCATACATCAAGTGCGAACAGATAAAAAACTACAAAAAATGCCCCTTAAACTTCTCTTCACCTAGGGATGCCCCATTTTGCTTCAGCCTACATCTGAAGTTCAGCTTTGATTTCCTAAACACTGCAGCTGCAGAACAGAGAGAGAGTAGGAGAAGCCTGAATATCATCTGACAACCAGGTCCTTGAAATAACTTTTAAAAAAATAAAAACTCACAAGCTGTATATGCTTAAGTAAGTACTATCACTTCACGTTTCTAGTTAACATGTAAGACTTTGAAAGAGTGAAGCATAGTGCTGATAGCACTTCTGGTTTCCTAACTAGGTAGGAACACTTTCAGAACCTTGGCAGCTGTTGGGCCAATACAATCCCTTACAAAAAAGATTAAACTTTACCTTGCCTTTCAATTTGGTATCTCCATTAAGGTGTTTTTTTTTTTCCAATACAAATAAAAATACTTCAGGCATTCTCAAGTCCCCAAAAAGGGGCTTTCTAGTTACCTCAAACAGACAGATCTCACCCTATCTGGACATATTCTGCAGCCTAAGGCACTGAAGTGAGGGCTACAAGAAGAACCTTTTCCCTTCCAAACTATTTAAGCACATGGTCTACCCATACGTTCCTTTACACAACTACCCATCATTCATAGAAAGAGAGAACACAGAACATACAAGAGCAGCTGCATTCGTACTTGCCCAAGTCTCCCCTACTTCAAAATGGGTCTTTTCTTACCTGATGAAGGTGCCCAAGGAAGGCCTGGGCCTGGGCTGTAGAGATCGCTCCTCCGACAGGCACAGGCTGCTTTTGAAAGTCCAGGCCATTTGTTTGTGTGCCTGGAGAAAAGAGATATTAAGAACTCTGAGCTATTACTTTTATAAAATGGAATAAGAATTAATATTCCTAAATCTCCTGCTATTCTCTTAATACTATGTAGTAAAAAAAAAAACCTCTGAGACAGGGTGAGGAAGCAGTATCTCTTCCAGACTTTGGTAATACAGCATTTGTCAGCTGAACAAAACCAACATCCTATTTTCTTAAGCTTCTACCATCTTACCTACTCTATGTACACTATTACACCATCATTCTTTACCACGGTTTGAGGATCAAATGGGTGCATGCTGCTAAGGTTAAACGTGTTTCCATTCTCCACGCACTTTCTATCCAGCAGCTGAAGACTATCTTCAAGTTCAGAAAGTGGCAAGAACAAGGATCTAAAGACAGGTAAAATAATACTTGATGAAAACAGAAGTACTGTATATACATAGCAGTTATGGGCCCCAGTTTTAAGATACCTCCACATATCCATGAATATTTGTGCTCTCATTACATAAGATAACTCCCTCAGCTTGCTTTTGCTCCCACTCGCTTCCATAAAACTAAAAACATGTAAGTAAAAACTGATTATTTCCCTATATTTGTGTTGTCTTCTTCCTAAATAGCTCAGAAAACACGAAACCCCCAAATAATCTGGTTGTGAGAAGGGGGAAGGAGGGGGAAGAGAACATTTTTTTTCTATAAGAAACTACCACAGAATTACAGAATTCTCTTCTGCCAAGAGGAGCTATAACCACAAACATTTAAGAATCATTCTGTGGGGAGATGATAAAAATCAACATTAGGGATTATCAACAACTGGTTTTGTATGCTGGGTATTACTGCCTACAGAGACTAACAACAAGAAGGGAGACTCTGAGTGTATCAGGCTGCGTGGAATTTCTAGAACAGATGATGCAATCTTAAAAATTGCGTGATTGAAATGAAGTAAAACCAGCTTTAGACTTGCATGTTTACTTTTCATGACAATCAGATTTTATTCAGTGCCTACAGACAGGTCTTCAACTAACTCCTACTTCAAAATTCCTTCAATCATTTACACTTTCCGTCACAAAAATCTAGGTTATCTACTAAGCAAAAGACAGTCACAGTTGTTATTCAGCAACAAGGGCTTGCTATTCCTTAGAAAGATCAGCAAAAGCAAGTAGGCATAAAATTTGATTAGTAAAATACATTATCCAATATTTTACATTGCTATTTTGACCTACAAACAGCTCACACAGATAAAATTTCTAAAGATGGAGTCACTGTTCAATTAAATTGATGGTCAAGCTTTCTAGTACCCACGTAAGGTACACACCTAAGGTGGCCCTTTGATGCATCTTTGGTGGAGATGCTGTGGGGAAGAGTTAGCCTACTCTCAGGTTTTTAGTTCTGTGCTTTGGGCCAGGGTTTAGAGACTTAGGAGACATATGTGCAGCCAAAGATCCACAGACATATTAAAAATACTCAAATTTTAAACTACATAAAATTATTTTGCTTAATGAGTCTAAAATTCCAATCCAAAGGGAATGGAAGGACTATCACTGGTCTGAACTGATTTTGAATGAATGAAACTTGGTTGCATTTATCCCAGCAAAGGTACATAAGGTCTGTTGGAAAGAGCTACAGGAATCTCACCTATTTTCATTCTTTCCAGTAAGCTGCAGAATTCTGTCAATGCAGAAGCCCAAAGGGAGTGGAAAGATGACCGGGTAAATACATAAAAATAATTGCTGACCAAAAGCTACTGTAATGCAATGGAAAAAATCTACCACTTCCATATGTAAGCAGATGTTTTGAATAGTTTTCAACCTATGGTCAGAGACCCCCACGTAGGGAAAAAAAAATACACATAAGAAAACCTACTGTAAGGCAGATATTCTTCATTCCAATTGCAAACTTGTGGGGGTCAAAAAATTACCAGTTTCTGCGAGGACTAGCTGGAAGCCTCACCTTAAATAAATAGGTGAAGCTGTTCTAGTTAACTAACTTCCAAAAAGAGCCTCAAATCATACCATATCAAAAAAGCACTGCTGTGCCTGTGTGCAAAAGAAATGTTCCAGTTCGCACTTCTACTGACTCTTAATATGGAAATTTGAAATGAGTCTCCTAGGGTTGATAGTTTTTAACAAAACAAGTTCCAAGACTGAGCTTAAAATCTCCATGGGTCCAAAAAACCAGTTTAGACAGGTACCAAGAGAAAAAAAAAATTTTTTTGTTTAAATTCAACCTTGAAGGACTCCAACTCCCTCTTCCCACACCTCCCAAAACCAAACTCATAGCACAAAAACCCAAACCACACCTGTTCACTCTCTGTTCTACTTGCATCTTAAGCTTTCTTTGGTATTTGGAAGTACAGTGTCCCTTTCCCTTCGAATGCAGCATAAGTTTTGGAAGGAATGCTACCCAGGTTGCTTGCATTTATCACAGGGTGCCTACGTCTTTTGAAGAACAGCAGGGAGAATGAACTTTGAGTCTAGCATATGAGAGGCCTTGCTCTTAGGGTGCTCATAAGGATGTGACAGCACTCCTGTGGAATCCAAGAAATCTGATCAGGAGACCGGAAAATGGAGCTGTCAGAAGCAGAAGGTCAGCACATTGTGAGGACATGAAAGGACCAGAACGTCACTTCTGCTCAAGGTAAGAGTTAAATGCAAAAACCCACGGTGATTAATAGACATGGCAGATGCAATCACAAGTGTTGTGATTTTAACAATCCCAATTATTTATATGTTTTCCATCTCCATCCCAGCTGCTGTAACCACTAGAGCTGATCTAACAACTCACTGACATCATTATGGACAAGAAGCTGGACATGAGCAGGAAGTGTGCACTTGCAGCCCAGAAGGCCAATCACATCCTGGGATGCATCAAAAGAAGTGTTGCCAGCAGGTCCAGAGAGGTGATTCTGCCACTTTGCTCTGCTCTGGTGAGACCTCACCTGAGTACTGTGTGCAGGTCTGGAGCCTTCAATATAAGAAGGACATGGACCTGATGGAGCGGGTCCAGAGGAGGGCCACTAAAATGATCAGGGGGTTGGAGCACCTCTGCTATGAGGACAGGCTGAGGGAGCTGGGGTTGTTCAGCCTGGAGAAGAGGAGGCTCTGGGGAGACCTAATAGAGGCCTTCCAATTCCTGAGGGGGGCCTACAGGAAGGCTGGGGAGAGTGTTTACAATGGCCTGTAGTGACAGGACGAGGGGCAACGGTTTTAAGCTGAAGAGGAGCAGATTTAGATTGGTGATTAGGAGAAAGTTCTTTACTATGAGGGTGGTGGAACACTGGAACAGATTGCCCAGGGAGGTGGTTGAGGCCCCGTCCCTGGAGATATTCAAGGTGAGGTTCGATAAGGCCCTGGGCAGCCTGGGCTAGTTGGGGGTGTCCCTGCTGACTGTGGGGAGGCCAGACTAGATGACCTTTGGAGGTCCCTTCCGGCCTGGACCATTCTATGATTCTATCAAAGAAACAGGAGTAGGAACCCTCCATCTCCCCTTTCTTCTTGGTTCCAACTCTATTGTCCCTGGCCTGCCCCTTCTGGTAGTTCATGGACGTGGTAGCAAGCCAATTCACCTTTCTAACTGAGTAAAAAAAAAATATTTATGTGAACTGTTCCCTTTTACCTTTGGTCAAGTTAGTTTTCTGCCAGTTATGTGAGATGAATTAACTTACCTTAGGGCCCAGCAAGCAGCAGATAATGCAAAGCAGGGGAGGTCAGAGACATGGTAGTAGGGAAATGAGCCTCCCCTGCCCCAACAAGGTGGTAAGACTGAATCAAGCTGCAGGATGAAATTTTTACTCTTACAGGCCAAGTCCAATGAAACTTAAGAACATTTAAAATCTGGCATAAATTCAGTCATGTGGTTAGCTACTTCACAGAGCTGGTTTGGATGAAGACTAACACTAAGCACAACTTATTTTCAGCCAAATCAAATCTTTGAACCATCTCACTCTCACTCCAGGGAAAGGAACAGAACACTAAGTATGAAGATTGGAATTGTACCTGCAGAGGTACAACGAAGCAAGCAAGATAACACTGCATCTGCAGTCAAGGAGAAGAACGTAGACTCAAAATCCAAGATCATAATCATCAAGCTTTAGTATGAGTTTACAAACAGGTCTGGGTAGATTTGGAGTAAGGTGCAAGAAAGGACCTGGGAAGGGAAGACAAACAAGGAGAAGGACTAACTTGAGTGGGTATCTACACCGTGCTCTGGGAGACATCTTCCAGCACCAGCAGTACATTTCCCCATCTCCCTCTCTGCATGCGTGCATTGAGAGAGATCCCCAACACGCAGGAATTGTTGATTTCTTGTTCACATTCCTAGGAAGGAGTTCAGCATTGATATTTACCCAGAATTTTATCAGTTAAAGAATATTTCATGGCCCCTCTCCCGCTCTCCTATAGACTTTCTCCTTATGGAAACTGGAAAATCTATCTCTGGAAATGAAGCAACACAAACATGAATCCTCAGAATCCTTCCAAATACTACACTTACAAAACTTACTATTTTGATACTATGTCAATGCGTGTCATAATACTACAGTTTCCATAGACATTATAACCTTGCCTTTCATAGTACATTCACACAGCTTTTAAAAAAGAATATGCATTAAACAAACAAAAAATGTTAGAGCTGTTTCGGAAAATTTTATGCTGCAACCTGTAAAAAGGAAACCAAAAGGGTTATCCGTTTACTGTAAGACACTCTTTATTTCTCTCTGTTTTTCCTAGTAGATACTAAGTAGACTGTCCACCCACCACTGAAGGTTGGAAAAGATTTGTGTAATTCTGCAATACTGATGAGCAGTTGATCAATTCATGTTCTTGTGAAAACAGCCATCTAACAAATCTTGTACTCAGACTTTTTTCGTTGTTGTTTTTAATTAATATGAAAGATGGGTTGCTTTTTCAGATGGTTAAAAGTAGAGTCCAGTTAGCACAAAAACTGTAAAAGTTAGAATCTGTTTCAGACATTCTATTGTGACCAACGTATTCAGGGGACTTTATTACGTTCTCAAAATAGTCAAGAGTCAGAAACACAAGCCCCGAATTTGTTAACTTCCATGAAACTTAGCTGTTAGCTTAGAGAATCACTGATGTTAAGTCATCTTTACCAGCGGCAACTGTACTTTTTTCTTCCTCAGAACAGTAGCTCTGCCAAACATGAATTCCATGCCCTACACTGATTTCTCCTAAAATTTTCAAATTGCATCAGCTCACTACAGTTTAAAACAGGAATGACCCAAACAAACATCTACTGAAGTTCAAAAGATAAACTAGTGGTGCTTACACAGCAGGCTCAAGTGATTTACAAATGTCACTGGAAAATAGGCCATGACAGAAAGTTACAAAAATTAGAACTCTTGAGTGTTTATAAAAATTATCTTCACGTATTTTGCTTTAGAGCCTATGCTCCCCAGATAATCAATGGCACTTCCAGTTCCTTAGCATCCAAGTCAAAAGCTGACTTCTTTTCACAAAGTATGCATAGAGCTAGAACCATAATGTAAGTACCCTGACCAGAAGCCTAAAATCACATTCTGTGATTATTTCTTTCAGGGTTTAACATCTGCCAGTTGTCTAATGCAACTGATGCTTGGAGCCCCCAGAGAACATCACAAATGCCGTTAATCACTACCTCCAGTAGTTTATGAGCACTATATTTAAAAACAAAACAATAACTGCAGAACCAAGGGTCCTCAAAAAATCTAGATTATTTTAGTTTGCATCATTTTAAAAGTCAGGAAACAAAGTGGAAAGGAGGGACTGGGAACATGTAGACTACAGAAGCAATGTTTGCAAATAGTACAAACACCATTAAGAGTCAAACTTTTGTGATAACTAATCTTAGTATTAGAGTATAAAAAACACAGATGTTGTATCCTCTTTTGTGATGAAAGCACCTACTTGCAGCTTTACGACCCATCAATTTCTTTATACTATGACCAACGCCTTCACACTGGTGAAGTATTTGCCTAGGAGATCAGAGTCAGGGTTCTGCTGAAGCAGATGCAATACTTCTGTGATAATGGACTACCTTTGAATAAACCAAGTTCTCCTCTTTAACAGCTCGGTTTAGGTGGAACTGCTACCTAAAGCTGCACTTAGTGAAGCGCATTGGGAATGCACTCTTTGGAGAAATACACAGGATAGTGTCATCATACAGAGCAGGAAGTCTGAATTTTCTCAGTTTACACACACACCATCCAGCTACAAGGATTCTAGAGGAAATATTTAAAACCATTGTTCTCTTGATGCTATTTATGAAGTATTTACAGACCACGTTTTTTGAAATAATGTTTTATATCATCCTAAACCAGTATTAAATATTTAATAAATAATTTTTTTTTACACAAAAAGAATTTATACTTCTCCTATTACAAATACAATGGAAATTATAAAAACTGAGGCGCCACTAACAAAACACACATTAATAAGTGAACAGAATTCCTTTTGACTGACCCCATGCATTGGCAGAAAACATCCAGCCTCTCGGATCAGTATCAGGAACATTCAGTCACTCTTAGCTGAATTAAAGCCTTACACAAAGAATGAGGAGACAGCAACATAAAATGAAATAAATTGTTAATTTCATCACAACTCCAGAGTTTAATTTTAAACTCTTATTATTGAACCAAGAGGAGGAAAAATAATTTTCCTCATACGAAGTAACAAGACTTCTCTCAAAGCAACAAGAACAAGTTCCTTCTCATTACAATTTTCTCTTTCCAAATGCTACCCTGAGCTCAGAGAAGACTGACTCAGGTTAACCTATTTATTTTCCATTCTGAATTGTCACTTCTTTTGCTTCCAAAATGAACATTAAATTACCTCCACAAAGGTAATTAAAGCATAAGATAGCATGATTAAGTTATAGGGGCTTGACAAGCTTCTTCAATGGCTTGGAACTTGGCCACATTTTATGGATGTGCCACATTGGCCCTGAGACAAAGGCTATTTTTCCCCAGCCAAATTTCAAGGTTCTATTCTAACACACAAAGTAAATACAGAAAAGCTAGCTAACTTTTTTTTTTTCTTTTAAATACTGAGAAACAGTGCTTTCTCCCTTTGCCTTGTTCTTGAGGACTGTTATGAGAGCTTGAATGAAATCCAAAATGAAAACAAGATCAGCCCGTGGCCCACATCTGCCAGGGAAAATTTCAACCCAAAAATAAACGACGATGTTAGAGGTGCCGAAGGTATATTCTGCCAGGAAAAAAATGTGACTACTTACTGTGAGCTAGTGCCACCAGACCTTCCATAATATCAGAAACATTACAGATAGACAAAGTGGGGAAGGGGAATCTCACATACGAAGTGTGGGTGGTACTCTGATACAGTAGGTGTGAATAATGCCCTGCATACAGTAGAGTTAATGACAAGAGAAAAGTGTTCCCAAGTCTCTGAAAACCGTAAAGTGTGTGTGTTTTCGTTTGTTTTTCTAAATCCTGTAAACTGGTAAATAAACTTGGCTTTTCATATCCATTCAGTTCCACCAGAAAATATCCATGGACTGATTCATCATTTCTTACCTGTGTTCCCATCTCCGCTATCCATTGATGGTTTACTGGTTTCTGACGGATTGTTCATTCTTGAGTCTGCATTAAAACAGAAATAAAGATAAACTAATACAGCAATAAAACCCCAAATCTATTCATGCTTTCTTGTCTAAGACAAGTGCAGAACATCAGGAATTTGATATGTGCTTTACCTTAATTCACATTATAACACAAATATGTTATAAATGAATGATCAGAAGCAGAATACATAAATATTGTTTCCAAATTTTGTATGTCATTATCCCCATACGTGAAAACATGGTGTTAAGGGAATAAGAGACAGCATGCAGGAGGGCTGGTAAGTAGGAAGAGATAGGTAGGAACTTAATTTTCAGTACAATAAAAGTCACAGAATCAAAAAGGGGTCAGGGTAGGGGGAGGAACAATGACTACATCAAGATTCAAAAACATTAAGTCTGACCACCATAGCCTACATTACTCTTGTGTTGTTTCCCCCCCACCAAGAGAAAGGAAATTCAGTCACCATAATTTAATAGGTGCCATTCTTCTAATACTGCATTTTTATTTTACAGGAATGTCACTGATATTAAGCTATTCTATATATCCTATATATTAATGCAAACCCATATAAATATAAAATAATTCCTCTTTCCTCTCCCTCTGGATGAATCTATTGAAAAGCCTGCTCTTGGTTTCAAAGCTTGTCAGCTGAATACAGTGCAATGCAGAGGGCCTCTCCAGATGGCAGACAGAGAATATAGTTTCCTTATATAGGAATCTATACAGATGTTCTGTGTACAGCATCAGCTCTCCAGCTTATTACCTCCTCATTCCTTGCTACCAACCTCAGTGTGCCACATTATCACAAACCAAAATTACAAAAAGAATCTCAAGACAGACCAGTTCATAAAGTGACCCGTAAGCAAATCCTTAAGCACACTCTTCCATTCCCATACCCAGTTAAATGCAAGTTCAATGAGCTCAAAACGAACCCTTTACTCCAGGATATTGTCTTGCTAGGTGCTTAAAAGGTTATCTGTGTCATATACTTTCATCAAAGCAGTGATTTCCAAAATACCAATGGGCTGAAGAAGAATACAGTAACAGCATTATCTTTCCCCCAGATACCTCCAAGAATGCCCAGACACCTCATTGCTTGGCAGTCTATGAGAGTCGGAAATGAGAAGCCAGACTATTGTCCCGTCCCATCACCCTGGGCTACTGCCCAGGGAGACCAGTGCCACCCTCAGGCTATCAGAACCAGGGGCAACAGCCGCAGAGGAACAGAAGCACAAGCCAAGGAGGAACGAGGCTGGTGGACAGGGCCTGAATGAAGACAGGAGTCATAATGAAGCCTGGCTGGGAGTGCAGGGTGGGAAGAGGAGGGAACTAGTTAGAAATGCAGCCCGTGTGAGAGAAAAGATGAGAGACATCAACCTTGGAGAAACTCCAATAAGCAGTTAGGAAACACAATTTAAGATGCATAAATATTTTTAAAACAAATTTAACTTTCCCCATAAACAACTGCTGCAGTTGAACCCAGTAGGGCCTAGAAAACCCAGAGGACTGTAGCAAACAGAAATCTTCTGTCAACAAGTTAACTCAACCTCTCCAGAGCCCCAACCCTTCTCAGAAAGCTCCTATGCCTATGATTAAATCTTTCAAATGTCAGCCACATGTAAAAGATTTGAACTATCAATGTTACTCTTCGTATAGAGGCAGACGTGTTAAACTGGCTTTTGAAAGGGCGAGTGAGCGAGGAGAAACTTTCCAGCTGAGCACTGCTGGCCCACACTTCAACAAAAGGCTGCAAGTTTTGCCCCATTTTTCACAACCTCTTTCTAGCAGATTCAAGCTATGACTTGGTAGGTTAGTTAGATTTTCATAGTCTTGAAAGGTAGAGCTCTTCTAAGGTTGCAGATACAGAACCTATTGCTTCCCAGCTCCTTATTTAGTCATTTTCCACATTTGGATAGCATGATCCACACTCTAGAAACAGAACATGGGTTCCTCTGATGGCACAGAAACATTTGTTGTTGATGTACCCCTCCTTGCTGATAGATCGTGTGTAAAATAAATACAAAGTATGTTTCTATCTAGAAGTTGCATGTACCTTAAATTGAGTTTACTGTTGTGGCAACAGCACAATTACTTAAAGTGATTATTGGCAACACTCATTTGATAAAGAGCATCAGTTCATTCCTTGACGCACAGATGGCTACTGAAATTAGTTTAAGTTCAGAGAACACCAAAAGGGAGACTTCACTTTGGACACAAACATGAAGAGTCCTCAACCAACAGGAAAATGAGCAAATAGAGCTTAGAAGTCCTGTAGACTGGTTTTAGAAACTCGGCTAACTCATGGGACTACTGGACGTAGACTGTGTTTTTTAAGCCCAGGGCACAAGGATCATCTGAACTCGTGATAGCACTGACCACAGAAAGGAGGAGTACAGGCTGAGAAGATCGTCTCTCAATAGCAAGGGATCCGTTTACTGAACCACTTCAGAAAGCTCTTGTAAGAAAAAAAAAATTAAAAAATCAGAGAAACTCCTGTGCTAATTTGTTGCAGAAACTGAAATATTAGAGCTACCGGGCAGGATACTAATGCTGGAATAAACAAACTAAACATGGAGTGGGGGACACAACTGCCCTGTGCAAGAACTCCAAGCAATGTAGCGACTGTTCCCTCCGTATAAGGATGCAACAAATCTTCCCGCATGACCAGTAAGTTTATTCAGGACAAAGTTATAACCATACAGACTTCTTTTCATAAAGTAACCAATACATGTTTTTCTTTCAGGCTTTGCTGGAAAATAAAACCTTTTAAAAACATTTTCAGTGTTTCCTAGTACTAGACATCCGCATAAAGTTTACCCAACTACCACAAGCATGTGTAAATGAAGACTGCTTTATTGTAAAGATTCATCCCTAACAAAGACCTCAAACATTGCAATTGCAAAAAAACAATTTGGATGAAGAACCATCTTTCTGGTACTGCTCAGGTTCAAACGAAGGATAGCATCCATTATTTCACCAGCTGACTATTTCTTGTTCAATCTGTGGGCCTTCTGCATGTAAAGCATCAAGAACAATGCCGCTATTTCCATTGCAAATGGTATGACATACATCTGAAGCACAAAACTGCTACCATCAAAACAGACACATAACCGCAGGATACTAAACCTACGGATTCATTATACGTCAAATAAAAAGATTATTAGGTTTATACATGCCCATACAATTTCTGCTTTAAAGTTAAAAGAATAAACAAATGAAGTGGGCTAAAAAAACCCCAAACCATAATGCCTTCACCTTTTCTTTTTCCTTTAGATCTTACCCGGGTTTTAAATAAAGGCCCTGGGCTACAACTTCTGCCAACATTATCTAAAAACAAACTCCACAGAAGGAAGGATCGAAAGCAGCAGGTGCATGACTGAAATCAAACTCTCAGGAGCGAATGCATTCAGTACTGCTACTCTGCTAGCAGGGCTGAGGGTGTCGCAAGGCAGTGCTGTGCCAGGCTTTCACACACCCTCAGCAGCATTATATTTCAAAAGGTATTCAGAAGAAAGAAGTAGCAGACGCTGGACCAACCTGGAGTATTAGGGACTGTACATAGCTAGTAAAACACAGGTAATCTCAACACGGAACATATCATTAACTGTTCCCTTTCTCCCATTGAAGTGAAACTGCCTCATACTCCCATCAGCACCACCAAAAATGATTCATTGATGCATATGGCAAAAACCAAAGTTCAATGCGAGTGAAAATATGCCAAGAATTCTCTAGAAATTAATTTTTTAAAAGCCACTTCATATTCAGAAACAAATATTCAGATGTCTGCTTTAAAATCTACCATCCAAAAGTATATTCTCTTACTTTGACATGTAAGTTCATGTAAGAACTTATATATAAGGGAATCAAAAGAATAAGAAAAAAATCCATACGTCGAGCTTTGGGGAAAGAGTCTTGAAAATAAACAAAACCTATTGTAAAATTGGGATGATCCATTATTGTAAATAACCGTGAAAGACATGAAGAAGAAATTATGGCATGTCTGTCGTGGAGTCCTAATGGAATCTCAGCACAGGAAATACATTACCCCAGTAACCTTAGGCACAGCTTCCAACGGTATCAATGGCAACCACTGTGCCCTCCACCTTATTTTCTATTACGCATGAAGAACCTTGCTATTTCATTAAAAATACACAGACATCATATACATTCTGCTGGGGAATGGCTCAATACAGCTACTACATTCTTTGAGACTGGGACTGTTTCTCATTTATTTTAACGCTTTAAAATTCATAACACACATATACGCAAGTCAAATCCAGTGTTTGTTAGAAGCCAAATGCTTCTCAGATTGAAATCCTAAAAGCAAAAGGTCTGTATTAATATCACCCAAGCCTAGCAGCATATCTCTCCAGTGCAGAGGAAACGAATTCTCCTGGAGCGAGAGAAAGAAGAAGAAAAAACCAAATCATGTACTTCCCTGGTACAGATCTATCTATCTATCCACCAGTCACCTACTTGCTGCCGATTCACTGGTGAGCTTCAGCCTTACAAACACCTTCGCTAGCCTCTGCATATGTGATTAAGCCTCCATGCATAGTCAACCTCACAGCCTCTATTTCCATATTAAACGCTCGTAAGAAAGAGCTGAGCTGGTACCCACCTAGAACGTAGTCGCTGCAGTCCAGCATTGCTGTGGTATCCTCTACAGGTTCAGATAGTCCAAGGAAAGGGAGAATGGCAATTTCTATCAAATCTACACTACTGCTCTCGACCGAACACGAAAGGGAGTGGGGAGGTAGGGGAAGAAATACAACTTCAGTTACACCATAGCAATCTTCAACTGAACAGGGAAACTTCAGTTGCTCTGTGGAGTTTTAGTCTCTCCTACTAGCTGTGTCTGACATTGTCAAGGCGACTGAAGCGTGAAAAGTTCCCCTTTTTGTAATAAAATAGAAACAAAGATTGCAGCTGGCAGTTTCCATAATGAAGCTTAATCAGTATGCGCCTGATTAGGGCCTTATGCAAATCTCCCCTCGTTAGCACAGCAGCCAGCAC